AATCCTTTTAGCCCGCTTTAGCCGCTCCTGTCCAATGGTTGACACCGTTGGGGTGATGTTTTCTTTCAAGCAGCTCCCTACCGCAACTTCCAGGCTGAACGGGTAGGAAGCGGACATCGTAACTTGGGAGGTTCTGTTGAGACTGGAAACATCCACTGAACACGGGAGAAACCGACAAAGAGATTTGAGATGATGGTGTAATTCTTGGCCCTCAGGTAACCAGCATGAGTCGTGGTGCTTGTAAATAAGAAGTATGTGAGAACTGCCGGTCAATACCGGACCCCCAAAAGCATTGTGAAGATGTTGTCCAGTAGACTTCATTCATTGGAGCTTGAGTGCAGCAGTGTAGTGCATTGAAGCTGGCTGTGGCTTAGAAATGCTTCCCAAGGTGGGTAACGTGGGAGTGGGTTTGGGGTCTCGGGTCTCATTGGTCCATGCCAACAGCACCGGAGACCGTGGAGATATGCGTGGATCTTGGTGGTATTGAAATGATTATGCATTTAATACAACCGACTGTACGCATGGAACGTCTTGGCCTTTGCTTTCAGGTATTTTCTGGCTCACCACTGGCTGGACATCTTTGCAGGCTATGCTGAGGGCTGCACTGTCTCCTTCATTGCCTTCAAGGTGACTGGGTGCTGCGCAGTCCGCAGTCGTTTCGAGAATATGTTTTCTATCTATTTGTTTGTGGGTCAAGATAAACTGAGTAGTTTCTTGGGAAAGTGTCGTGTTGCTTGCAATCTGCACGTGCTTGCCGCCAATCCAGCGAATTCCACGCGGTCCCCGCGTACATGAGAAAAAGAGGAAAGAACTATATAGTCGTGCCTCTTTTGTCATGCCATCCTTTCAGTATCTTTCAGTGGTGTATCAATTATTTCAATACATTTTTCAACCTTTGGTCCCACCGGTCCTTCTCCTGGCGTTGTTTCCACGAAAGGCCCCCTTTCTCTCGCAGCCAATCCGCAACTCTTTTTCGCAGCCTCGGTTTGGCCTGCCACGTCGTCCTCGCGCGGCCATCGCCGTCAACGCGTCTCGTGCGTCAGATGATTCGCATGCATCACGCCTTCGACCTGCAACAGCTTGGAGGGCTCTTGGTGGCGGCACTGGGCGCCCCGGTGGCACGTTCGGGATGCGGGGGGGACCGGGGTGACGCCGGAAAGAGATGGTTTGGGTGTTTATTTTTTTTTGTTAAGAGAAGAGACCAGCAAGAACTGCTGGTGTTACATGTAGGAAATTGAAGATGTAGGAGTTTGTTCCAAGGAGCCTGCTTCAAAGACATGCTTCGGGGTCACATTAGGGAACAAGGGAATTGAATGAATGCAGCGCCTATATGGATCAGAAAAGTTGACTCCAAGCAACCGTTCGAGCGAAACTAGAAACTGACTTCTGGGTTGAAGGATATGGCAACAAGGGCCCAGGAGAATAAGTAAGAGTTCTTTGTCTTTCGTCATTAAACAGGCACCCTCCAGCCTGAGCCAGTGGCTTTTCCTGCGCCAGTCGGATCAGATTGGCCCCTCTGAGTGTTCATGGCACGGCGCTGAAGCGAGAAGCTTTCCAGGAAAGGTGCCTAACTGTGGTCACTGACCGGTGTCATGGGTGGTCGGCGGAAATCGAGACAATGTCGGAAAGAGGCTCACCTGTTCAAGAGCAGGTGCCTCAGCAGATGCTTGAGTTTCTGCTGATTTTGCTGTTGTTGGTTGTGTTAGAGCTCTTGCATAGCTGATGTCTTTTGTGTATGTGAGCCACTGTAGAGAGGTTCCAAATCCAGAAACGATGTATGCCTCCACCAACAGAGCTCTCCCACTCTCATTTTTGAATATGTTTGACCCACCGGTCGTTTCTTCGGTTTGCACGCCGCGAAGACATTCGCCCTGGTCCCATGCGTCCGATGGTGGCGCGTGTTCGATGGCACGGCAGCGGAGGATTCGGCTTGGCCATGAAGCTTACCAAGAGGACGAGTTTGGGCGCGGACGTGCGGACAGCGAGGTATGCCGAGGTATATGTGTTTCTTTTGTTCGCCACTTGTATAGGTTGAATGATGCAAAAAAAATGTGCGAAAGTAGCAGCGCCATGGAAGTCCAAGACAAATTTAAATGGTTGATATGGTTTTGTGGTATACAATCCTTAGTAAAACAATTGTTGTTCGGTAAAGGCTACTTTAAAAAAATGGTGGTTCGACTTCTAGGGAGATGATGATAAGAATGTTCAGATAAAGGCTTATATTATATACATTGTACTATGGTCCAATTTCTATTTGCTGGTGCAACGGCGCAACTGGAGTACATGGATTTGTGGGGAAAGATGCAGTGCTCTTCAAGAGGGGCGATGCAGTGCTCTGGCATTTGGCTGTGTGTTCTTCGTTGACGCCAATCATTCAGAACTGTGATTCGTTTTGTGATTTGTTCTGATGAACCCTAAACCCTTAAACCCTCAAACGAATCAACAAAAAACAAATTAGGGTTTAGGGTTGATGCGTTGGCTGCTGATCCTTCAGGTCACCGGACTGGGCCGGTTCCCTCCGGCCGACGCCCTCCCTCATCGGGTCGGACCGAAGAGCGCATAGAGGAGCGGTTTTCAGCAGGGTTCCCAAGCAACCTGTATTGGAGAAAGACTTGGACCAAGGAAAAAAAAACAAAAACATCATCATCATCATCATCATCATCATCATCCACTGTGACAGGGACTTAGGCCGCTAGTACCGCTAGTATGCTAGTCCTAGTTCTCTTGGAGCTCCAAGAGGGGTCCCAGTAAGGAGGAAAGCGGACAAAAGATCCACTGTTACAGGGAATCGGGTGGGCGATCATGTCGCTTCCCTCACCGGACCCAACCCTGCTCTTCGGGGCCCAGAGGATGATCACCGAGCTATAGCCCTCCTGAAGCCTCCAGAACAGCCTAGTCAAAAAACCTGGGTTGTGCCCAGAAATCGTGGGGGCCTTTTTGTGGCCTTTTTGTGCGGACGGAATCATAGGTCTGCAAGACTTTGCAGTTTCAATTGTGGGATCTTGTGATGCTTCTTTTGTTGTGTTATTCTTTCTAAACATATATATATATATTAATTACTGTTGTAACTATATTTATATATATATATATTGTCTTTTTGTATCTTTGCGTGATAACAAGGGTCAGGACCGCCTGTCTTCGCGTCCTGGCCTTCGAAGACCGGACACGAAGGCAAGGAGGTCCAGATGTACATGTGCCTGCTGTGGTCTAATTGTTGATTGTTCGCTGTGGTCCCCTTGGTTGGTTTCATGGTGGCTCGTGTGCTGTCCTGCCTTTTGCTGGTACTTGTAGCTACACACGGCATGAGCGCCTGCATCTGGAGAGCTCAGGGTAACCAGTAACCTTTGACCTGAGGGATTGTCATGGTTTCCGCTCCACCTGTCTAATGAGACGACATGATATACTGTTTTGTGCCAGGCCCAAGCAGCTATCCGAATGCTTCTAGGACTTACAAATGGCATTTTCCTGTCAAGTGGGGCACTAGCTTGGCGGAGCATAGCTGAGCTTTATGGTGCGGGCGCGCGACTTGGAAAGATCGTCTCTGGAGCTATCCGCTGCGAACAGTCCCTCAATGGATCTAGGGTCATTTGAGCTGTTCCTCGGATCTTTTTGGCAGGGAGGAGTGCCAACCTACCCCTTGTCCGCTTGACAATTGCAACTTGAGTTGGAAGGGACGACTATCGTATGTTAGCGGTGAGCACATGCATCATCCGCGTGTGCCGTCCGCACCCGATACACAGACCGCACGTCCATCTTCCAGGCTTCACAGTGGCCCTGCCAAAGCAAGCCACCTATTTTTGCTGGCTGCTGGCATCGCACTGATGATCTTGGCGCCCACCATTTGAGCCCGCGAGGCCGTTCTTGTTGCGCGGGGCCACAGTGTAGATGCGATCGGCCACCGATTTTCCTCCGGCGACGAATGCCAGAATGGACGGCAGCTGCAGGGTGGGTATTCAGGGCGGGCTCAACTCCCAGGGTGGCAGTTGCAACAGACTGATGCAATTGGAACGCGTCGCGTTTTAAAAGCTGAAGGGTCAATGCGTACAGGCTGACAAGTGTTTTTTAATCGAAAATGAGGGTTGAGCATGGTTGAGCATCAAACCATAGTTGTATGCAAACAAAGGATGCATCGGCTGCTGTCAAAGAATTGTAGGGTTGCTGTTTGCTCCATGTGTACTGTTTTGTTTTGGGCCTTTTCAAATTAATGAATCAGAACACTTAGGGGCTGGTAGCTAAAGATAAGTATGGCCCCTGGACCCAACGCTCAAAACCCATGACAAGAATTCCCTGTCCATTCACTCGGCATGGTGTTTGACGCTGTGAAATGATTCCGGGTCTCCGCCGCTGGTCACAATCGATTTGAGAAAAGAGTGAGCGCATGCCACCCTGTTGTGGCGGGAGATGGGTCGGTGGCCAAAGGTTTTCATGACCAGCACATGACTTAGCCAGTCCACTTTGGCTGAGTTTTCGGTTTGACATCTTAGTTGTCCGGTTTCGTCCTTTTTCCACATGGTACCATTGTTTCCTTGCCTTTCTTCGTTGTTCTCAGCCATGTTCAACATGTTTGGTACCCGTTTTTACAATATAGGAACACCAAAGGGAAGGTAGTTGGCGGTAAGAAAAACAAGTTACATGCGTATTCAATCGATTTACGCGTTTCCCAATCACGTGTTTTGCCAGCAAATATGAAGAACAACATCCCATTTTTCTGGGTCGGTTTTGCCCACGGGTTAAGCATGTTTCTTCGAAACCCCTACGGCCGATGCGTTACTTTGTTCCCCCCCAACGGTGATGTGTAGAGGATCTAAATAAGTAAGTTCATGGACCTGCGAATTTGCTGAATCAGGTCTTGTTTCATTCGTTTGTTCCAAAAGCTTGGAAACGCCGCTTTGCCCGACATCCCCTCATGTGGAGGAATCGACCACGGTCTTCCTCCACACATGTTTGGTCAGCCTGGATGCCATTGCACCGGGAAAAGCCTTTTCCTGCGCTTCCTGCAGGAAGAGGAGACCGAGGAGACCGAGGACAGCTTCTCGGAAGATCGCCTGCAGGCAGGAGGAGAGTGGGGAAACGCCCCATACTCTGCAGTTCAGATCCCAAATTGCGAGTGAGCTCCCGCCAGAGCACCGGGAAGCGAGTGCGCCAAAACGAGCAAGTTCCTATCAGTCCTATCAGTGATCAATGTTTCTACTCGCACTGATCTGTTCATATCTGATCTGAGTCTGTTGGCGTTTGATTTTGGTGATTTGGGAAAGAAAGACGATCAGATCAGTTGCCTTTCTGCCACCTTCGTTCCACAAGTGTAGCCGGCAGCACGACCCCCAACGCCACGTGATCAATATGCTGTTTCTGCTCACGGTAACGTTAGACATTCGAACACCAACAGAGAACACCAACAACAAACCAATAGGAAATGGCATTGGCATAATGTGCCCAGAAACTAGAGTAAGTATCTCCAGGTCCTTATAAGACCATACTGGGGTACCTACGGGATAGTCTACTATAGGGTTCTTCAACCTCTGTTGGTTCTTTTGTTGGATCACTCCAGAATCACGTCCTTTGAACAGCTCCTTTTCACCAAACACGACCAGTCACGTCACTGGGATCTGCCGGGTGAATTGACTCACCTGAGGATCTAAGACCTCGATACTATGAAGGGACGCTACGAGTAAGGGGCTCCTGGCATCGCTACGAACGGAGCGTTCGGACGCTACCTTTGGGGCTCCTGGCCCTACTACTAGGAGCAAGAAGCTATTACATCCATTGCTTCATGCCCGAGGTTTTTCCCAAAAGCCTTTGCCAAAGCCTCACATCATGCCCTGATCCACCGGGTGCATCCGGATCGCATCCTCCCAGCGCGGACTTGCCGCGGCGCCGCACACGCGGACTGGCGCAGATGTTGGCGGACTTGGCCTCGCGCGGCGCCCTGCGCGTGGAAGATCTGTCCGAAGAGGAGGCCGCCCGACCGGTCGAGCTGAGTGACCAGAAGCAGTGGTTCGACGAGCGACCAGCCGGGAACGGCTCCACGCAGTGAAAGGAGGGAAAGCATCGACACAGACGACATTTGTTGAATGCTGTGGAAGGTTTCACCTGTGTGGCATGAAATCCTCCTAACCCATTAAATTAGAGCTTAAAGAATCTGGGGCAAGGCAGGCATGGTGTTGATGGGGTGGAGGAAACCAACAATCAGCTATCGTTGGAGTATGAGATAGTATGAGTGTGGACATTGGTGGACAAACCTATCCTGACCAAAATGAAGAACCCAGACCACACATTGGATGATTGGTGAAGATCGACCAATTTGTTCATGTTTGGGATGTGAACTCGAACGGCGCGATGTTTTCTCACTTACCTTACCTCTAAAGAAATGAGAGGCATTTGGCTTCGAGGTAAGCGATGGTAAGCGGAATGGTTTGGACAACGAACACCTATTTATCAGGCTGGTCGAAAACTCTCTCAAACCACAACAAATTCCTGCTAGTGATTACACAGAGGATCATAGAGGACAAGCTCAGCAGAGTTTGTCCTGAAAGTATTTGAAAGTGCAAATGGGCCCATAGAATGTAGACTTCACATGAACTGAACTTTGGAAAACTTGGATGGATTTTTGGAAGATCATTGTATGGAGCGCATAGGAGCGCATATGAGCGCATGATAAACTACAATATCAGCTGGGATGCCCTTTTCAAACAAAAACATCCAAAAATGCTCATTTCGCACCATTTTCTGTCGGACTCATGTTGGCTCGGCGCGCGCCAGGCACGGAGCTTCTTTGCGGAGCTGAAGAAGGGCGACCTCGCACGAGCCATCGGCCCTTGGGAGCCATGGCCAGGGACCCGAACCGAGGCGGAGACACCGGGGAGGCGAGGGAACCGGCCAGGGGAAGTAGAGAACTGGGAACTACACGAGGCCAGGCTCGAAGTGTTTTTGGTCAAGAGGTCTAAGGTGATATTGAGACTAACCATGAGTGTACACGTTGTAAGGAAATAACAATATAATACAATATGATATTAGCATATTTGTATATATATATAGTGTTATATATAATATATATGTGTGTGTAGGCCAGTGTGTAGGCATTGCCTTGGCAAGTAGTTATGGTCCAAACCACATCCCCAAACATATGTGTCGATTAGTTGCTGTTGTGGTGTTCTTTCAAAAACAAGCAATTTCCAACAGAGCAACACGCCAGATAGAAGGGCAAGAAGAATGTCCAACAAATCCGAAGTGTACCGGAGCTGCTGAGTTAAGATTTGGCCCACATCTAAAGCGTTTTTCGTCATCCTGGAGTAGATGGAATATGGGAAAATCCATAAAGCAACAGGAAATTGGATGAAATTGGTTCATATTCTTATACTCCATGTCATGGTTGTCCTTCAACACTTCCAGCTGTTGATACAGCTCCTCTTCCCGGTCGCAGAATCCTAGAGAATTCCAGGACACCTCCTCAGGACCTCGCCCGTTGTCCAAAAATCGCTGAGGTGGCATCAAACAGCTGTGGTCGATTTGATGTCAATGGACGATGAGTGCACGAACGGTGCGGATCCCGGTCACGATGAGTGCGCCACAGGTTCGGCCCCAGGTACAGGCGCCGTGGAAAAAAAATCAACAAAATGGAACATTTAGTATCATTTCGTTTGGTTCACCTTTCTTTTTTCGGAAATGGCTCGGGGGTCGGCATGCAGTATGTTGTTTGGAAGAAAAGGAACGTGTATAGTTTGGGGGGGACCCAAGACAAAGATTTCACCGGCGGATTTTTGGATTTATATGTTTGGTTAGCTGGCGCAAGGGAATGTGCTTTTGTTTGAAATGCGGTTCTTTAATTTAGCAAAGATGACAACTGAAATCTTCGGTTGTCACTGTATATATCCAAACCCTTCGCAGCATGCCTTCCAAACCAATACACACATTCTTTCATGATTGTTCATCACGTGTCTTCCAGATGTGATAAAATATATATATATATAATCTTTCAAAAAAATCTTCAAATACGACTTCCAGGCTCAGAATGCATGTGGCTTTGGAGTATCGAATCAACGCTGCCGTTGGGTCCGGCACGAGGCGATGAGCGGCTTCACCGGTCTCCTCCGGAACACCTCTGTCCCGGGGCCAAGGTCGCCGGTGTGGGAGAGAGGCCAAAGCCGTAGTAAAAGGCCACCAAGTACGCCCCGCAAGATGAACATGGAACCATATGGAAGGATCTGGGAACCTGAAAACCACGTTGGGTCGTAGAGGAAAACCACGTCTTCCACAGGTCTCAAACACCATGCAGCTTCCATGTGGGTCTCAAGTTCACCGGGTGTGGCAGTAAAAGCAGTAGGAGAGGCAGATGGCTCCGGGTCATGGCACTCAGAGACAACAAGGGCACGTTCGTAGGTTGGAGGCCATTGCTCTTAGTGTCTTTCCCTACTATTCCCATATGACAAGCAGACGACAAGCGCTTCCCACGACCCTTCAGCGCCAAGCTGGGTATCGGGGGGTCAAATAAGAACTGTATTCACTGTACAGGCAAAGCAATGCCAAGGGTCTATGTACACAAACGGCCAAAACGGCTCCAAGCGAAGTGAGGTACACAACGAAAGCAAGGAATGTCCATCAGAATTAACGTTAATGAGAGCAAAGGACTCTTGTAAGCGAAAATACATAAAAATACCAACAATGTGGGCAGGACATATTGGTATTGTTGCACACTAGTTCTACACCGCTGATTTCTACCTGAGCTTTTTAAGATGAAAGAACTGGAAGGTGACAGCGGTGCAGGGGCCCATAGCCGATGGGATCACTTCCTGGGTAGGCTGGAGCAAATGAATTGGGCACACGGGGCAAAGGAATTGCATCAAGAGATTGTGGCATTTGTTGTGGGTGATTCGACTTACTTTTCGAACGTATTTTGCATTGTGCTCTACCTGGAAGGTCGTTTGCTACATCATCAAGCTACGGGCTCCAGGTCTTGACCCATTTGCATATGATGAGATCAGGGATTAGTGGGTCCCGTGACACCATTGACACTGGCATGAAGCAGCACGAATTGGTCTCATCAATCCACGGATATCCACGGGTTGGTCTCTAGATCGCCTGTGAACACTTGGCGGAATCGTTGCTTTTACATAGCCCCGTTGAACCGATGGTCAGTCAGAGCGGTTTGAATCACCACGATAGTGGAAAGCAAGTACACCAGGGTCAAAACAAACCGATGGCCGTTGCAAAACCAATGGGAATTGTGCCATCCGTTTTCCATAGATGGAGAGAATCGTGCACCACGTGTCATGTGCGGACACCAGCGGACACCATGTAATTAGGATAATTCTCCAACGAAGACCGCGAGTGCAGTGATGATGTCATTCATGAACTCTGTGAACATGCTTTGCGTTAAAGGTTGTAGAGTGTGAACTTCTAGCCAGATCATGCTCACCCCACAAGTTGTCAGCTCAGCCGACCATAAGGCTGCAGTGCGACTGGCGACCGGAAGGCACGGTTGCAACGGTTTAGAGGATCGGCCCAGCTGGACGACCCACGAAAGGCACTTCAAGGCACTCACACTTCGACCTAGTAGTAAGGGGTTAAGAAGAAGCTTCAAAGACATACTAGAAAGCTTCTTGTTGCTACAGGTGAAACGGTTCCCAGTGAAACAATTCCCAAGGAAGCTGGGTCGTGACCCACCAGCCTAGCGGCCTAGCCCGACCTGACCAGTCGCACCCAGGTGAGACGGTCTCCTGGTTTCGACGCAGACCACCGGGCTGAGCTAACGGCTGGGCTTTCTCGACAACGTGGTGCTTTAAAAAGATATCTCCAGGCACCATGGTTGTTTCATGAAGCAAAAGCTTTATGAAGCAATAAGCACCATAAAGCACCTTGTTGCGTCCATGGTTGTTTCATGAAGCTTCTATATTTTGTAAATACCAAGGACGCTACGAGTATAGGGGCTCCTGGCCTTACTACGTACGTAACAAGGACGCTACTAGGAGCAAAGGGCATCGCTACTAGGAGCAAGAACGCTACTAGTAGCTCCTGGCATTACTACTAGGGGCAAGGACGCTACTAGGAACAAAGGGCATCGCTACTAGGAGCAAGAACGCTCATGAAGCTTCTATATTTTACATATACCCCAAACATCGAATCTATATTGTATACCTCCATGATGTTGTCACCCAGACCCTTAACACGAATATCCATACCGTGGTCATACCACCGTGAGAGGCACACCCCTCAGTGGTCTTCACCCTGCTGGAGGCGCCGGGGCTCGAAGTTGTCTCCAGTTCGGCCGAGTTCGTTCCGGTCCGTTTGGTTCTTGGGCAGTGTGTTAGCTTGGTGTTCCAAGATACAGCTACTGGCACTGCCCAAGATTCGGCTGAATGAATGTCATGTTGGACCCTCATGTTTCATCATGTTTCTATTCCTGTAGGTTGTTTGATCATGCTTGATCTCCAAGTCTCAGGAGGAGGTTTGCGGAGGTGTTGATTTGTCTAATTGGCAGGTCAATATAGAGTTATAGAATGTTATAGAGTTGTTTGATGTTGTTTGTTGCATTTGAGCACCTTTCAGATGACGCCAGGCTCTTGCTTCTTTATGAGAGAGAGAGAGAGAGTTTCTTATGTGTTTGACAGGAAGCCTCGGCAGGAAGATGCTTGACATAATGGTTAAAATGGTAAAGTGTGATTTTGCTTTTCCAGACCATCCATGTATGGAATAGTTGCGTACATTGGGGACACAAATGGGGTAAATTTAATAGAGACTATGCCATACATGCAGTGTCTCCGTTCTGAGCCCCAGTGAATATTGGACCATGTTGGATTCCAATAATTTGTGTGCTTTGGGGACTTGCTTTTGATCCTCCCGAACGACAGAGCTGGTCGCAAGGGAACGACACCATTAAAAAAGAAAAACAGCTGTGAGCAAGGCTGCCAGCTGTCGCAAGGCACAAATCAGCTGTCGGCTGTTGAAGGTCTTGCGACAGAGGTCAGATCATGTGACGCAAGCTGCGCACGCTGCGCACGATATCGCGAGAGATGAGTTCAAAGAGTTTTCTTCCACCCGGGTGGCACCATTCCAGAAGGACGGCGGCAGCGAAAAAGCATGCGTTCAGGCCTTTTCTGCGACAGGGACTGGTGTCATGCAGTTTAAACACTCAAAAGAAACTAGTTGGTCCAAAAACGACTTGGAGGACCATGAAAAACCTCAAAAGAACAGAAATAACAGAAATGAAAAACTACTTCGGAGGTCCATCGCCGCAATTTTTGGAAACCACATCCCCCCTTTACCATCCTTTAACGAGTTCCCATGTAATTTTTGTGTCAGAAAACATTTACAGTAAAGTCTCTGGTTTTGGTATCAATCAACATGACTCCTGACTCGAAATGGGCCAGGCGCTGTATGCCTATGTCCATACCATGCGCAGCTTCAATGGCGACTGGGACTGGGATCCTCTTCAGGCCGCAGCTACTTGGCAAAAATGAGAGACAGTGCTGAGGTTGGCTTGAAGCATTTGGATGGCTCATCTTTCATCAGCTCACTGATCTTCTATGTGTTTTTCTCTTAACGACAAAGGCATTGAGATGTCCTTCTCAGAAAGAAAACCAACAGAGGTGGGTCAGAACCCTCGTTCGACTATCCCAGTTGGGTACCCCAGTATGGTCCTATTTACGGTCACAAAAAACATCTCTTGGAAAGTCCATATCACCGGAACCGATGTCCGGATCCCGCCGCCTCTCCATCCAGCAGTGCACGGTGCTCGGTGGTGCTCGGTGCAATTGTGAAGAACCACAAAATACACCGAAATTCAATGGTGACTGTGACTGTCAAGTGTGCGGCTTCGTTGCACAGATTTGGTGGTATTTTGCCGTGATCATTTGCACAACATCTGCTGAGACGCCCGCGAAAAAGCCGTTCGCCGATGCCGACGCTGGGTTTTAAGATAACCGTCATGAAAAATGTCCTCGGGCACAGCCAGGTCGTTTCATTTATATATGCAACTTTTGAAAGGAACTGTAAAAAAGGTATATAGATAATAGATAAACAACAACGACGACAACAAGGATGTGAGGTGCGCGTAGGGGAATAGTATGGAATAGTTACCAAGTTGCTGAAAAGGAAGACCAGGATGAGTAGATATGAGTAGATAAACAGTTCGGCCCCGATCTCTTGTATATAAGTAGAGTATTTTGTCCCACAGACACTAGATGAGCTTGTTTGGCGGAATCCCATGTATGGGGAGATAACCCACAATATCTTCTAATTGGGAGCAAAGATTACACACTGCAATCGTGCTGAGGCTCATATGTTCCACATCGGACGAAGCATTTGGGCCCTGGCGCTCAGATGTGGGCGTAAGATGCTTAAGACAGATGGTTTGGCTCAAATACATTTTTGCCGGGGGTTGGAACAAACGAGCCAGCTCTTCCTGCGGATTCAGCTATACTAAACTTGTTATTTTACATATTTTTAGTGTTTTGTTTGAGGTTTAATGTAGCGAGGTTGTTTGTTCAAGAAGATCCACTCAGGTCACCAATCCCATAAACTTCTGGGTGAGCTTGCTAGCTTGTCATGAAACCTGCCCGTCCCAATTCCTGTTTTATGAAGAATTCTTTGGGGGTTTTGGGCCCCCATGAAAGATGGACGACCAAAACGCCCGTTGAAACAGCTACCCAAAGAGTCTAGGGAAGTCCAGCCAGGACACCCGGTCCTGGTCAGAAGTGCAAATCCATGCAATACTCTAGGTTCCCTATACCCCTCGAATCTTCATAAGGGATCTACAACGGAACGAAGGCCATGTTGCCTTGGCAATGAGCAGAATCGCATCTCTGACGATTTCAATCAAAAACACAAAACAGACTGCTGATGGGTTTTGGTGATATACTCAGATGATGGCTTGCTGCACTTCTTCAAAGTTGCTGACGCAGCCTGGAACAAGTTTCCCCATTACTAAGGGAAGAGGTTTTTACAACCCCTGGAAAAAAGTGTGTCTCCTTGGAGCTTTTGTAGATAGAAGCAGCACGGTCCAGTCTCATCCCAGAAAGAATTCCACATCTCCTCCGCTCGAGCCCATCCAGGGTCGGCAAGTGTATTCTTCCGCCACTGAAGCGCTGCAAGCCTCGCAGAGCATGGTTGTTGGCTTAGTCCGCAGAGTGAAACCCGGGTGAAACGGGGTGGGAGAGCTTTCTCGAAAACCGCCGGCACTACGAAATCCATGGAAGTGCCGGGTAGCAGATGGTAGCAGAACACCACAGTTGGCTTTCGTGGTTTCAATTCAGAGTTGTGTGCATTCAATCCACCACTGTGGGTTCAAAACTGTGAGGACAGCAGATGACTTCGGTCCTTGTGTCACATCGTGTACCAGACAGCACCTTTGATATGAGTGTTTGATAGTGTGTATATTACATAATTCTATGTATATATATATATATGTATATATATATAATGCATATATGAATGTGTGTTTTCTTTTAATGGGGAGACCCCCAACCAGTGGCTTTTGGTCTATTTCCCTTCTTCCAGGTACGCTGAACATCGCTGCCGAATGGAGGTCTCCCTATTTTTCACACACCCATATGGACCATGTCAGGCCGATGACCGCGTTCCGTGGGGAACATCGGCGGGCCCGGACCGGCGGGTTCCAAAAGAACGCTCGGACCGGCTCCGACCGGGTCTGGAAGTCCCGGACGGGATGGTCTCGAGGTTGAGGTTCAGAGGTTCAGTATGGCCTCGTTGGTTTTAGAGGAGATTTTGGTGACGTTGGAGGAAAGCTTTACGGTGTCTTGTTCTGTTGGTTTGGTGCTGTGATGTGCTGTGGGTTTAAGTTGCACCCCTCTTTCCAGATGGAAAAGTGCGAGCTTACATGAGCGTACACACTTAGTTCTCCAAATTCCCTGCAGATAGAAGGAGGAAGTGACTTGTTCCTTTGACCATCGGTTCATAGATCGGCACGTCCTTCATTGCATTGCTCTTGTTTGCTGTTGGGCCCAGTGATTGTCGAATGCAAGTCTTGCAACTATAGAACAAAACCCAGAGCCCCAAACCCTGTCCCTCAAAAAGGTGCGGATCCATCCGTCGTCCTGTCCGGATTGAAAGAAGACCTGCTCATCCAGTCGGTGCGATGGGGCCCACCATCTGGGCCCATCGGAAATGATGAAAAGACACGGAGGAATGGTGGCAAAGAGGCGCGATCTTCGATGAGAAATCGATGAATGGGAGGCCCCGGGCCGATCTCGGATCCGCCGACCTCGGGGCGATGGGGCGACCGGGATGGGCCGACGGCTGCCCCGAGCCGAGGCCAGTAAGTTGCCAGGCAGCTTCGCACCCTTCGTCACCCGATTGCAACGGGGAGCGGCGGAGGAACGAGGTGCTGTCAAGAAACAGCACACACTAGGCTGGGGGGGTTGGATATACTTAGAACCAAATCATTTGCCCCTTTCAGGTCCGGTTCCAAAAAAGAAAGCATTGGACCTTGGATGTAAATTAGATGTAGAGCCTTAAGATCCACGTGCTTGGTGTGTTTTCTTCGGGTTAAAAGAAATGACATGTGATGAAAGTTTGGATTGTTTGGAACCGGAACTTGAAAGTGGACCTGGTTTTTGGAGTTCTTCAACCAAGACAAACCTCCGAACTTCTGCTTGGTGACAGGTCCTTTCTGAGTCGACCCCCGACGGGTCTCAGCGCCGGCTTCGACGGTCTCATTGGTGTGCTTGTTCAACGAGTTTGAATGAAGCGATGTTGAATGTTCGATGGGACAATGGGAACGGGAATATCAATGAGCTCATTTTAAAGGAATAGATGGACTCCGAACATGGTCGAGGAGACGAGTTGGATGCCATATGACTGAAACGCCAATTTGGAGACGGAGACGCAACTAGCTCCAAGTCACAAGAAAGTAGAAAGCAAAAACACATGAGTCACACGAGCTTAGCTCGTTCAATGAGACAAAGATAAGTCATTGAGTCTACTTTCACTCGGGGATTGGTCGAGTTTTTTCTTGCCTTTGCCATTTTGGTGGCGGGCCGAACGATGGAAGGGGACGGGCCGAACGATGGAAGGGGGCGGGCCGAACGAGGGGGTTGAGATTGCAGGTGTGGCGTGTGGCTTCACCTTAGACAGTTAATGCTTCGCAGATTGGCCAGATGGTTGAGGCAATCTGAAGAGGTAGTAGGACCTGTATTGCTTGGGATCTGAGTCTTGAACAATCATGAACATTCACAGTTCAACTGAGGAAGGACATGAATCACCGAGCAAACATGAAGTTGTTGTGCTTGTCTTTACGTTAAAGAAAAAAGTCTTTGGAGGAACTAGTGTCTAAGTTGATACAAGCCAGACCATCCATATCTGGAATATATGCCTGCAAGTATGCCTGCATTGACCCCAGGTCAACCACCTATGATTGGGCAACAACCAAAAACAAAGCGCCTGCTGGGCCGATCCGGCAGATCCTGTGCATGGCGCCATCCGAATTCGGTCAGAAATCTGGATCAGCCAAATCAGCACTGGAACTCTTGCAGGATGTGGAGCGATATATGCCGAACTGTCGGTGAAGATGTGTAAGATGTCTCCATCCACAGGACACCGGACGCCAGCGAGACCGGAAAAAGCCAGAGGACCGTGCTACGAACCGAAGGCCTCATCCTGGTTACCGTGGATGGCATGTCCGATGTCCAGATACGAAGGCATCGGTGGTGGCGATCCACGGAATGGGGCCTTCGGGAGTGTGCATGTCATGCAGACCGAGTGTGGAGTGTGCAGACCGAACGAAGAGGCCTTGGAAGATCGCACCGTGCTGCACGAGTGCAGCAGCGATGCAGCTGTTGTCTGACATGTGGTGTTGAAGTGACTTTTCCTTCTATTTGGAATTGCAAGATGTCACCAGTATGGCAGTACTATGGCAGATGACTTGCCTGGAGAACCTTCATCCCTCCTCATCCCAGCGCCTCTTCCGAGTATCAAAGTGTGCAGACGGATGGGTTGATGAGTAGGCAGCCTTACAGCCTTACAGGCAGGGGGTGAAGATACAAGCATTGGACACCAATGGAGTCGGAGATCGCTTGGTGAAAAAGACAGTCGCCTGAAGGAACTCTCCTGTCGGGGTTCATGGTGCTGACTCCAAGCGGTTCATAGGAGGAGCGACCAACGTTCCGAATCGAAAAGGATGAAAAATAAACTCGGACGAACACAGCACACGGTTACCTGGAACGACACCGCCTGGTGACGTGGTTTTCAAGAAAAGTGTCCTGATGATGTGGCCACAGCTATGCCAACCACGTTAACCATGTCTTTGTCAGAATGTCGGGTACGATCGTTCTCCTGTCGGCACTCGCGACTCCACCGGCTGGTCGGCGATGACCGACGCCACTCTTCTCGGGCGCTCACGTAGGAGTTGAGTAGTCGGAGAGTAGGGGGGTGGGACCGATCGCACAGGGTCGGTGAAATAGGAATGGCTGTGGGTCATGGCACGGGGACACCCTGGTTTTTCCCACTGGGCGAATGAACAGAGGACAACCACGACCTGGGAGGTCAAGCGAATGGCCTGGCAACATGTGACGTGTCAATCCACAATCCACCCACCAAAATTGGAAAGCAAAGGTTTTGTCGTATTGAGATATACAATCATATAATCATATATATATATATAATGAGGGTTTTCCTGGACTGGCAACCTGGCCTCAGTGGCCCTTCCCCAGATCATGTTTGATTGTGAACTTGGAACAGAGCCCAGTCACAGTCCAGATCTGAGAAGAGGCAAGAACATCCATGTGGTCAAAACCTAGAGCCCGACCCATCCACCATGTAGCGAGCAAGCGAGAGACCGACAGCAAGCAGGTCAACCGCACAGTATCCTAGTGACCCACAAGCCACTGGAGTTGGAGAAAGCTCGCAACATGTTGCCCCGGCAATCAAGGACAGGCACTGCTTGGGAGACGTGGCTACGCTGCTACGGCGATCCTTAGGGAGTTGTGCCACTGGGACTTGAGGAGGCTGTGCCGCTGCACCATCGGTTTCCCCTCGACTGTCTATGGTCCAACTGAGCCTTCTTCGGACTCAACCAGCTTTGAGTCTCAACCAGTGAGTTGTTGAAGATGCGATTCTGGAATGGCCGGGGATGTGACTTTGGAGAAGGGAGAGTTGCGGGAGTTTCTTGAGGAGTTACTTGAGAATCTTGTTGAGTGAGTCTTGAGAATCAACTGGATCATACCTCTTCAGGTGCATAAAATCGCTTGCCAAAATCCCGTGCCTCACCAGGTCTGTCATGACAAATCATTACTTTTTTTTCCTACCAAGTTCCTCCAGACCCTACCCCCGTGGCTTTTCTCCACTTGGATGTGGTAGCTCAAGAAAGGGGAGACCTCTCCCAGGCTCTCCGACCCCACCCATTAGACATCCCATTTAGTCCGAGTGAGTGGTCCACCTCCCGGTTTCACCGGGTGAGAGCAGTACTGCACGTACGTGTGAGGGCCACGCTGGCCACTCAAACATGCTCAAACCGAACCCAAGGGCCTCCGAGACTGGGACAGAATTCTTAAACACATGACGACAGTCATGACGACCCGGTTGCAAAGACCCCGCACTTGTCATGTATATGACAACATGCACGCACTTGGATAAAAGAATGCTGCGCATAACGGCCCCCTTCGCCCCAGGCACGTGCGATTTTAGAGGCGAAAGAGCTGAGTGAGCAAGCTCATAAGCTTGCTGAGGAGAGCCTCCGAGAATGGAGGGGTGACAGCACCGGACATGGGTGTGTGATCTGTCCATTATATTCCATTATGCCGTGTTGCGCTACTGGTCATTACATGTCATTTCTATAGACATCGAAAAAGAACTTTCTTAAGACCATATTCCCCCGGAAGGGCTATTAAGTGCTAGGGTAGGTATATTTAACTTATAAGCCTTTTCTCGAGTGGAAAACACTCCGAATCTCCCATATAGTGTTTGGGATGGCGCCTGAATCAGGACCAGGTGTCGTTGTTTTGCAGTTTGGGATCTTTTCTTATCCATGTGATTGTGGATAAAGATCCAGAGGTGGTGCTAACCTGCTCGAACCGTTTTTTAGCCCATGGGCCATGCTGTATTGGTGCACGCCCACGCCCACCTAAACCACTGGTGCTTCCGGAACTAGACCTCAATGACCGTGGCTCGGTCACTTGTGCTGAGTGACCGTGTTCGGAACTCATGGAGCCACGGTGTGGCACCGGGTGAACTGGCCAACCTTGGCGAACACACTCCAAGAGGCTGAACTGCTGTGTGTCCCAGCTCGTAGGGCTTATGAAAAAGCTCGGAATTGCAATGAAATGCATATGGACAAAAGCAGGTGAGCGCTTATTCTGCAGCAAGACGCTTGCTAAGTATATGGTCACTGTAGCCATCAGTTTAGAGTGGAAGAGGCCGCCTTGGTCGCTGTTGGTTTTACCATGACATGGTGATTCCTTGTTGCCCGTCCTGCGCCCCACAGGAGCCCAAGTCAGCTTCACGGTTGCTACGGGGGGTGAAGACACTTGGAAATCGACGTTTGCGTCGTTCGATGGGTTTGGGGCCGGGGCCTGCGGGGCCTGCGTTCGGCGCAGGGGAAGAAGTGGAACGCGACCTCTTTTGAAGTTGTGAGTTGGGTTTTGACATGTTTTGAATGGTTTTGATCAATACAACGGCCTGGATCACCTGAAGATGACTGATCCGATCCTTGGGCTGATGGAGGTCATTCTTGGAAGGTACAAAGCTATCGGATGGGCTCTTTCAGCACAAGCAAGATCGTGGCTAGTCTCAAGGCTCCATGAATGGGTCAAGAAGCCCCAAGAAGTTGGTGTGCCAAAACACAGCAAGCACAGCATGAAGAACAAGGCCCAGAGGAGGTTTAAACTTCTGGAAGTGGGGGCAATGAAGAATAGGTAGCTGCTTGAAGTCCAGCCTTTACAGCCCTCGTCGCCTCGCAGCGGGTCCGTCCGAGGAAGCTCGAGTTCTTGTCCGCCTTCGCCTGGTACCATGAGGAGGTACAAAAAACAAAACGACCCAACCACCGCTCATCCCAATGGGTTCTGCCGGCATCTGAGGTGCTAGGCAGTCATCACACCTGTAGAATCCATCAGGTTGGTGGAAGACTCGTGACAAGCATTGCCCTGGCAAGCGATGGACGGACTAGAACAGAATCATCAATATTAAAGTGACGTGGTTTTAGGAGAACCAAACAGAACCCCAACCTATGGATTGGTCAATGTTCCTTCTTCCAGAGGGACTCTATTTAGGAGGTCTCCTTTTTGATACGCACCCATTCAATCTTTTGGGATCTTTTTCGTGGTGTCGTGTTGGAAATCGTGTCCCATCTGTGTTGTTCTACCAATGCTGGGAAGGCTCCCCCACGAGGCTCCGAATCCTTTGCTAAAGCTAGACTGGCTAAAGCCACAAGGGTCTTGAAGACTACCCATCGACCTGCCAATAGCATCACCGGAACTGAAGGCACGTAGTGATTTTTACGAAAAATACCTCGAAGATATCCGAGAGAGTTCAGGAATGTATTTATACTATATTATATATATCTACAAAATATGTACGTACATGATATATGTATGTATTGAGATTTTCATGTTCAGTCATGCCACTTCATGCCATGATCCTGTTGCCATTTAACCTCCAGTGCACTAAAGGGTGGGCACATGTCGACATCGACGCCTTTGGAGAAAAGCGAGCCTGAGAAGCAAGCGCTGTAGATCCAGGGGCCAGGCTCCGTCGAGGGCCGAACAATCGCATTGGTAGCGCGGCATAGGTCAGCGCCGCTGCTCCTCAGGTTCGCTGCCTGATGTTCTTCGATGAGCTCTACGAGGACTTTGATGGCGCGGCTGAGTTTGGAGACGCAGCCTTCGATGATGATGGCGCGATCCCAGCTGATCCCATGGAGGATGATGGAGATGATGATGACCAGGTCTACGACTTCGATGACCTGGATGATGGTGGAGGACCAGCTCGTCCCTTGGGTCCGAATGGCAGCCCGGCCTCTTCAGCAGCTCCTTCCAGGAGAAGAGGATCGAGAGGCTCACGCCCTTCGCAACAAGGCCAAGCTGGTCAAGGCTCTCGCAAGTGGCGATCAGGCCACATCCCTGCCCCGCCGACCTTCGCGGGGAACGTGGAGGACGAGCCCTACTGCTTGCGACATTACCGTCGTGCTTTGCGACGGTGGACGACGATTACAAAAGAGTTTTTGCCGGCCAACGAACAGGCCTTGAGAGCGCTCGACGCGCTCACCGGCGAGGCCGCCTTGGAGCTCGAGGAGGTGGACGACGAGCGCTATAACAAGGACACTGGAATCCAGCAGCTCCTCGATGACCTCGAGATCAGCTTTGGCGAGCGCGAGCTGTTTCGACGCGGAGGACTGATCCGCGAGTACGAATCCCTGACCAGGGTCCAGGGAGAGTCGGTCTGCGCCTTTCTCCGGAGGTTCAGGCTCTATGAGAGGAAGCTCAAGGACGCCCAGGTCCCGCCCTATCCGGACGAGACTCGAGCGGTTAAGCTGCTCGATGGCCTACGCCTTGACGAACGTGCCACTTCGCAATTGCTCCTAGCTGCCGGCAATCGCTACAGCTTCCAAGCGCTGGTTGAAGCGATACACATCCAATACCCAGCGGGGCTGACGCTGACGGGGATGTCACGACATCCAGTCCCTGTCCATGTCGCCTCAGCTCCACGACATCGAGGCCGAGGACATCAGCCCCGAGGTCGAGGAAGAGGCGGAAGTTTCCGCTGGAAGACATGGCACACCGAGGCCATGCCTGCAGATGACGACCCAGTTGAGGAGGTCTTCATGACTGCCGGTGATGAAGTCCAGCAGTATGAGGACGACCCGAACGACGACACCTTCGATTACCAGTTCGCGGACTATGATGAGCAGGCTGATGACTATGCAGCCGCAGCAGAGGAGTTCGAGCCCGATGAACTCCCTGAGCATGAGGCCGGCGATGACGCTGGCGATGAACACCAGGCCATGACGGCCACAAGCAAGCGCCTGGCTGCGACTGTGCAGTCAAGGGGCTACTACACCACTGCCAAAGACAAAGGCAAGGGCAAAGGCCATGGAAAAGGTGCTGGTAAGGACAAGGGCTTTGGCAAGAAGGGAACTACATCCTCTTCTTCGCCTACGACCACTTCCAAAGGAAAAGGGTCCGGCAAGTCCAAAGCCGGCTCAAAGGGTGGGAAGTCCAAGATGAACCCCACTCAGCGGCAACGCATGCAGGCAAGTCTCTGCCTGGGTTGCGGTGCCTCAGATCACTGGCTTCGTGAATGTCCTCATGTCACGCAGCACCAAGCGCATGTTTGCTCGGCTTCATCCACCTTGGATGGAGACGGCACTGTGGTTTGGATGGCAAGCCACAACAAGATGCCTGGATGGCAGCCTGAGCCGGATCCCACGCCTTCATCGTCTTCGGCACCATCAACGCTGAGCAGGCGAGACGAGGAGGAACCACCTCCGCCGCCTCCGCCGAGGCAGGTCTTGACTGATGATGACAGCCTGCCGCCTTGGGAAGCCCTGGTGCCAGATGGATGGCATCCTGATGACTACGCCGACTATGAAGACGGCATGGCTTTCTGGAGGCAAGAAGCTCAGAGTTTGAATGCCCTCATGGACGAGAATGGCAACATCCCAGGGATGAGGGAGCTTCCTTCACCAGCAGGTTCTTTTCGAACCGCTCGGGCCACAGAGTCCGAATTTGCTTCTTGTGCACCAAGCAGAGCTCCGAGCGAATTTCATGACGCTCAGAGCGAGGCTCCCAGTGAGGCCACTCTTGAGGTTTTTGGTGCTTTCGGTTCACCCCCTTTGTTTTTGTCCAGCGTAGCAGCTTCATCTCATGATTTTCCACGTCATGTTCACGGGGGAGAGGACCCAAGGACCTCAAGAACTCAACAATGGGGTGAGGACCCAAGGACCTCAAGAGAAGAACAACAATGGGGCGAGGACCCAAGGACCTCAAGAGTAGAACAACAACGGGGAGAGGACCCGAGGACCTCAAGAGACATAGGCTGTCCACCACTTACCCTTGAGGGGTACCCATTCTTAGCCGCACAGTCGGCTCCCCAAGCGGCACCTTCGCCGCCTCCACCTTGGATGCGCGCCATGGCATTTGAGGGACTCTCAGCTGACGATGAGAGTGGAAGGCCAGCCAGGCCTTTGAATGAACATCCGCTGATGCGGATGAGACACACTTCAGGTGCGGCAAGCACTTCAGCTATGCCCAGCAGCTTCAGAACGGAAGGCTACTACCGGGTGGAAATGGTTTCCACTTCATCCATGTCTTTGAAGCCACCGTCCTTGCTGCGCCCCTCGATGGCAACGGTTCCTGAAGAAGATGCTGAGGGCAAGCCGCATGATCATTTGTTTCGTGCACCCCCAATCACCAACATGATGCAGTACACGGACGAGCCATGCCTGGCCATAGTGGACACTGGCTGTCAGCGACAAGTGGCTGGCCGCCGATGGCGTGAGCTCCACCTGAACCACGTGCAGCTCCCCAGACTGTTTCTCGTGGAAAATTGTGCCTTTCGCTTTGGTCCGAGCAAGAGTTCGAGGTCACGAGAAAGGTATGCATATCCTGCAGGTCTGGGAGGTCATTTTTGTGTGATGTTTTTCTCATGTGTTGAAGAAGATGCACCCGCTTTGATGTCACGCCACACCATGACCACACTCGATGCCATCCCGGACATTTCAACGGGCAAGATGATTTATAGAGCTTTGGGCACCACTTCACAGCTGTATCTTTCCACCTGCGGTCACCTAGCAGTTCGCCTAGATGAATGGCCTGAAGAACTTCCAAGTTGGCCATGTCTGATGCCCTTGGACAAGAACGAGTTGCCTGATGTTTGGGCTCCGACTGCCACTCCGGTTCAAGCTCGACCACTTCCGAGTGCAAGACACCCTGCTGTGACACCACCCGGAGATGCCCGCTCCTCCTTCATGGCTGAGGCGCTGGCGTCTGCTGCTGGTCCACCTGTGGAACCTGGTGGTGACTGTGAGCAAGTCGGTGCTCCACTACGCCGCTTCGAGCTTGAAGCCACATCTGCGCGACGACATCATCAAGCACTACATGGCTCCCTGCACGGCGGCGACCATGCAGACCTCGATGGCAGCAATGGCAGCTCAGGCCAACATGCAGACCCTGACCTACCCGAGGGATCCATCGGAGTGCGAGCACCCCTCAGGCCTTCGAGCCTACGGGGCGGGAGGCCAGAGCGTTCGCATCTGCGACCAGTGCGGTTTCAGGGCGGTGATCCACAAGGGTCAGGTGATCCGAGTGCAGCCCCAAGCAAGTCCTCATGCTCGAACCCCTCTACAATTGCCGGAGCACATCTCACAACACAGCAAAAGCAAAGCCGCCGGCAAAGCATCAAGCAAAGCCGCAGGCAAGAGCGCTCCCCCGGCAAAGTCAACTGGTTCCTCAGGACAGCAACGTTCTGGCTCGGGACCTTTCTTGCCTTTCTCTCAGGGCTACTTCTCGGAACCACCTCAGTATCCGAACTTGGCCAACATGACGCCTTCGCAGAGCTGGACTCATCAGCAGATCCTGCAACAGCAAGTCGAGGACCAGGTGCAACGTCGACTTCAAGAGATTGGTCCACAAGTGGAGGCGCAAGTTCAGCAACGCTTGGAGCAGATGGCCAAGGCGAAGGCGACAGCTCCTATGCCTTCGACTTTGACGGCACCAGTGCCGGAGATTCCTTTGGACAACGGTTCAGTGGCGAGCTGGGATCAGGTTGGCTCGCAATGGAACCAGGACTGGAACAACCCTTCGAACTGGGACCAGCCCTACGACTGGACGGAGGAGATCGAGGAGCAGCACGAGGACTTCGAGAACGACCAGGAGAACTACCCGGACATGGGCCAGGAACAGATGTCCCTGGACGGTTCGGCTCTCTGAATCCACAGCTATCTGGGTCGGCCGACCGACCTTTGACCTTCGAGGACCGCGGTTTCCAGTTGCTCAAACCCGGACGCCGCAAGAGACTACTTCACACCGTTCGCCAACTTCGTCAACTATGGCTCACAGAGTTGCAGATCTATGACAATGTCATTCAGGCCGCACGGAAGCTCCGTCACACCTCCGAGGTTGACCTCATTGAGATCTATGGCGGCCACTGCAACATCACTGAGGAGGCTCTGTCACGAGGACTTCGATGTTTGCAGCCAGTGGACAAGATTCATGGAATCAGTCTCAACAGCAAAGCCGACTTTGCCTGGCTACAACGTCTTCTCCATCGATGGCGACCTCTGCTGACAGTTCTGGAGCCCGAATGTCGACTCTGGTCACCTTTGACCGGACTCAACTACTACTGGCGACCGGAAGAACTTGAACAACTTCGAGAAGAAGCGCAAGTCACCGTTGAAGGTGTTGCCAACATGATCCGCGACATCATCGCAGCGGATCGCTTCTTCCTTTTGGAGAACCCCCACAACGGGCAGTTTTGGAATCAACCTGCAATGCTCAAGCTCTTCAACGACTTCGAGTTCTACTATGACTATGGCAACATGTGCGCCTACGGTCTTCGTGGACGCAACGGTGGCCTGATTTGCAAACCCACTGGATGGCTGAGCAACAACCCAGCTTTGCTTGCGAGTGTCACTCACAAGTGCAACGGGCTTCATGAGCACGAAGAATGCATGGGAGGAAATGCCAAGCTAGCTGCTGTCTACACCAAGCAACTTGCTAAGTCCCTGGTGGATGCCTTCACCTCTGAAATGCAAGACCTTGGAGACGAGCGCTTCATTCTGGCTACTTCAGCGAGTTCCTCCGCTACCAGCTTTCCTACTTCAACTAGCTCAAGAAGGCCCATGACACCTTCGAGGGCACCTTTGACCCCCATGCCAGGTACTCCAATGCCTGGAACTCCAGCATGGCCGGCTCCTTCTACACCTGGACCTGGCCCTATGCTTGAAGACGACCACGTCAGCTTGCAGAAGGACCCTGACAGCTGGCGACCTTTGTTGAAAGAGGCGGCAGAACGCCTTGAGGGAAAGGTGGCAGTTGCAGCGGAGATCAAACCCTCCGCCTTCCTGGAACAGGTGAAAGCTTTGGTTCCTTGGCACATCTCCTTCGCTCAGATCTACCGGACACCAAAGACACGACGACTTCCGACCCAGAGGATGCTGAACGTGCCCGACATCACTCACCGAGGCGCAGCACTCCTCTACCACGACAACACCATCGAGGTTGAGAGTCAGGCCTTGGAGGACCTCACCAATCCGAACTCCAGGTTCGAGCGAAGTGTACGTGTCGCCATCTTCATCTATGGCAAGCCCATGGCAGTGGAGACCTCAGCGCAGAGGAGAACTTTGTCCAAGTTGACTTCACCGCCAACTCCGGTGGTAGTTGAACCAGAGCAGACTATGAAACCCTGGGAACCAGGAGCTGCCGACATCTCCTTCCCTGGTTTGTCTGAAGATCAGGTTCCACGATGGATGCAAAACGTGCTGAAGCGCATCCACTCCAACCTGGGGCATCCATCATCGGCAACACTCATTCGTATGTTGTCACAAGCTCAAGCGAGCCCAGCTGCCTTGATCGGTGCACGTGCTTTGCGTTGTGCCGTATGTGAACGCAGCAAACCACCTCGAGAACCTCGACCTTCAAAGACACCACCGCCTACCAGACGGTTCAATGAGCGTGTGATGCTGGACCTGCTCTACACCAAGGACTCCTCAGGTGAGACCTTTGCTTTCCTGAATCAAGTTGATGATGCCACAACTCTTCAGGTGCTCACCTTGGTCAACGACCGCAATTCCAGCACCATCACCTCAGCGCTTGTGAAAGGATGGTTCCAGCACTATGGTCTACCAGAGACTCTCTTGGTGGACGCTGAAGGTGCTATGAAGAGCTTCGCCTTCGACGAGCTCATGGCCCAGAGCAACATCATGGTTCGCTTTGTCCCTCCGGACGCTCCGTGGCAGATGGGCAAGTGCGAGCGACATGGAGATGCAGCAAGAGCCATTCTGAACAAGCTGGTCGACCAACATGGTCTACTTGGCGCCGAGGACATGCAGACCGGCGCGGTGATGGCTTGCTTCGCCAAGAACACCCTAGCGAGGCGAGCCGGCAGTTCACCTGCTCAATGGGCACTTGGCCAAAATCCTCGACTACCTGCAGCAGTGCTCTCCGAGGGAGATAATCCTGAGGCAATGGAGCGACTCACACTGTCCAAAAAGCTGCAGCAGATCGAGAACCTTCGCTTCGACGCGATGCACGCCTTTCTGTCCTTCGAGAACGAGAACGCTTTGAGGCAGAGCATGCTTCGTCGTTCACGACCATGGAGAGGCCCCTATGAGATCAGCCAGAAAGTCGTCTACTACCGCCTTCGCAATGCCTTGGACGGCGAAGGATCTCAACCTGGCTATCGTCAAGGGCTGATCTTGGCCAAGGACCCGGGCATCAATGGAAGTCTATGGCTTCGCAACGACAGAGGCCGACTGGTGCAAGTGAGCCGCGAACAAGTTCGATGCCTCCAAGGAGACGAAATTTGGCTCCCAGACGAGAAGGATTTCAACCTTCTGAGGTCAGCTGAGCAGGACTTGGAGAAGAAACACGCCTCAGTTCACGACCTTCGTGATGCAGCACCACCTTCCGGACTTCCTCTTTTACCAGAGCAACCACCTGCTGAAGTTCCTGAAGGTCCTCTCGAACCTGGCAGGCAACCTCTGGATGCTCCCGGTGAGTCAGTTGACCCACCGCCTGAAATTGCTGAACCCGAAGTTCCTGCTGATGTACCTCTGGACCCCGCAGGGAATCCTTTGGGCAGTGAGCCTACAGCTCCGCTACCACTTCTGCTGGCACCTTCATCACCGAGGGCGACGCCGGCTCCATCCCGGAGGGCTTCAGTGGCTTCCCAAGGTTCAGCGCCTGATAGCAAGAGGCTCAAAACTTCAGAAGCCTCGAGCTCAGCACCTATGCCTTCGCCTGCTGATTTTTCACGACAGGTGTCAGCAATGACGAGGCAGACTTCAACTGGACGAGCCACTATGCCACCGACGTGATCATCACCAAGGTGAAGCAAGACCACGAAGCCAAGATGGGCTCAGACCGGGATGCGATCTCGGAGTTCAGATCCGCCACAGGATCCTTGCAATGGATGTCAGGAACCACCAGACCCGACATCGCGGCAGACACTTCCCTGCTGCAAAAAGGTCACAGCGACCTGACATATGGTGATCTTGCTGAAGCCAACTCCGTGCTCAAGTACGTCAAGGCGACGGCGAACACGGCGGTGACGATTAAGCCGATTGACATGGAGAAGCTGGTGCTAATCGCATTTGGCGATTCAGCGTTCGCCAACGCCCCTGGAGGAAAGAGTCAGGGAGGCTACATCGTGCTAGCAAGCACACCTGAGGCCCTGACCCAGCAGACTGATGCCAGTCTGCTCGACTGGAAATCATACCGGCATCAGAGGGTCCTTCGGTCGACCTTGGCCGCAGAGGCCGCTTCTTTGGACAAGTCCGAGGACTACGCCAACTTCGTGGGTTGCATGCTCGGCGAGATGGCCAACGGCACCTACATCGCCTCCCACTCAGCGAAGTCACCTTTCGCCATTTGGCCGGTGACAGATGCAAGATCGCTCTACGATGCGATCCACAGACTGGCAACCTCCTTCTCCGAAAAGCGAGTGGAGATAGATGTGGCTGCTTTGCGACAGACATGCCGCAGCTTGCGATGGGTTCCTACGGAAGCCATGCTAGCAGACGCGCTAACAAAGCGCAACAGACAGCTGAGAGATCAGCTGAGGACCTGGATGGAAGATCCACGGGTCAGCTTGATAGAAGCCCGAGACCCCGGTGACGAAGACACCACAGCATGGAGGTCAAAGGCAAAAGAAAACAATACCAGTGAGATTTTCATGTTCAGTCATGCCACTTCATGCCATGATCCTGTTGCCATTTAACCTCCAGTGCACTAAAGGGTGGGCACATGTCGACATCGACGCCTTTGGAGAAAAGCGAGCCTGAGAAGCAAGCGCTGTAGATCCAGGGGCCAAGCTCCGTCGAGGGCCGAACAATCGCATGTATAATATTTTATAAGAATACTCTTGAAGAGCTCTTTCACCCTGCCTGTTTGGAGGAAGGTATATTTGTCACGTGACATGTCCAGACCTTTTCCGACTCGACCGGACTCGTGTCGGGACCCACCAGGTTTTGAGCGTCGAGGTCGCTGCCGAGGTGCAGGCCCTACAAGAGGCCCTACCGGTCGGACGAACTGGGAGAGGGAGAAGGAGAAGAAGAATCCCCTCAGGGGCCGATTGCGCAGTCGGATTCACAGGGATGGTAGACAACTTGTATATACTTGTATCCCCCCAAAAGCCCTTGTAAGCACGTGAAGCGTTCGACCAACTTGGTGAGTCTGAAAGAAGCAGTGGCCCAAAAGCGCCACAGGCATGTGACACGGCGCGTGGCCAATCCTCACCGTTCTCAGATTGGCAAGGCGAAATTTCTGCAAGATGGGCCATGCACCAGCCCAGCACCATGGGCCATGCAGCGAAAGATGTTGGGAGTTCCTCTCCACGAGCCCTTCCGAATTGACAGATGTTTCGGAAGACCAGCATGCCGCTGTGCCACGAGCACGAGCTTCGCTGATATTGTTCTTCTTGAACCTGCGAGGATCCACCAAAGGCTCCAGCATCAAATCGGTCCACAGCCAAATTCGCTGACGTCAAGTCCAAGTTGTGAGCTCTTGAAAAAGAGCAATGAGATCAAGGGGAAGAACGACGCAGTGTGGAAAACTTATGTCAGGAAGGAAATGAATGGCAATGAAGTTATTCAAGGACGAGGTCGAGGTAGAAATACTTTGAAGATCAATTTGAAGCCAAACAAGGGACCAGACTGCTCCAGAAAACCATCCTCCTCATGACCCCGTCAAGGCCATCGTTGAAGGGAAGGGATATACCGAGGTCCTCCTCAGGGCATGTTCTGCCACGTTGCGGAGGAAAAAAACACAAACAGCGGACCGAGCCGTTTCCGGAAACGAATCGGCCTCGGATATATTCGGCGGAGTTTACAAAAGAGAAGACTTGGGGCGTCCTGGCTGTGGGTCAAAACCACCAGGAGACCGACCAGTCAGGACCTACCGACCGGTGTCGGTCAAGCTCGCTCGCTCGCGCCTCACCGTGGACTGGTCGGCCGAACATGGTGGGTCACGAGTCGGACCTTCGCGGCCTGGGAGCCACGAATCAACTGAACGCAGTCGATGTCCCACTTCGATCGAACGAAGTCCTGGACGGAGTCGGAGTCGGAATCGAGGCACCGAAGAATCCCCGACAGACCGTGATTTCCGGTCGAGGACGCACCGCTCACAAAGCACCGTTCGATATCTACGGCACCGTTCATTGTATACCATGTGTGATCCGACCCTGATCACATCAACCATCTGAGCCATGTTTTGCATGCGAAGCTCAGAGTAATTACATGAAAATCATGAAGTCTGCAGAAATCGATCATATCACCTCACATTGTGGGCTACAGTACACAAAGTTGGGTTGACCAGACTTCCGTTTGGCGAACCAGAGACTACAGAAGATCAGATTCTGAGGTCTGTGGAACTTGTCTTGGAGAACGGGCAGAAGCTCTCAAGCGAGGGCCTGCCAAAGCGATCCTGGCATATCATGACCATGTTTGCTATAGGGAAAGGGTTTGTAGTGTTTTGCATATTCTTGTGATACAATCACTCAGGATCATTCATCTTTCTTGACCAAATAGAAAGAAGAGTTGAGTACGTGTCCATGTAAAATCGAACCCGTGAATTGACCCAGCCGCCTGCAGATCCTCGAGGGTGCAGAGGCCAAAGCCGCCCAGAGGCGCGGGGAAGGATGATACCGTCAGTTGAAAAGCACACCCAGTTCGCGGGCCAGAGTGAGGTGAACCTGGTGGATGGTGAACCAACTCATTTCCGAAAAACATCGAAAAACATAGTTGGTCAGTGCTGTTCAAATATGTTCAAATCAATGATTGTTCAACCGTTACTTGGGATGATTCATCCATATTCATCCCAAGAATCTGGAGATCAAACATCATCAAACATCTCTGAAAGCACCAACCAGCCATATGAAACGGGACCAAATTCAATCAAACACTTGGCTTTTCGACCACCAAGTCTTGTGGTTGTTTTCGAGCATCTTCGACCACCTTTGACTCCTAATTCCTCCTCTTGCATCCATTCTTTCGAAATTCACAGCATACATGAGCTGTGGCCAAACCTTGGTGTTGAGCACCCTCCAGAACTAGCAAGTTGGCCAAAAACTTGCTTTTTTTTTCAGGTGTTGAACACCCGAACTACTGTGGTAGGCCAAAAACCCTGGTGTACAACGCCTCTAAACCTGGAGTCGCAGAATTGGTTTCAGGGAAAACTAACAGGAATCCTTTTTGGAAACCATGGTGTTCAGCCCAAAAAAACTGGGTTTCCTGTAGATGTTCCCTTAAAGCATATTAGGAATTCTGAGACTGGAGTCTCAGTACTTCAGAAAATCCGTACGGTATCGTACGGTACCTGTTTCTTTAATGTTTTTTGGGCTTTTGTACTATGTCACTATGTCTCATTTTCTAAGGTACTTTGCAAGGTCCAGGTATGTTTGTGTGTTCCGTACGTGGCAACAGGCTATGGATCATGGCACCGGGCAAGCCTGGTTGACCACGGAAAATGAAGCGAATGGATTGAACCACGGTGGTCCACCTACCAGGGCGAAAACGGGCGAAACGGGTTTTGACCAATCCAACCAGACAGTTACCACAGTTGGCGATGGACCATGTCCATGACGTTCTTCCCGCAGACTGCGAAGAACTCTGAAGGTCCAGTCCGCCATGGAAAGAGAACCACCTCGTTGCGTTAGGAGCGAAAGGGCACAAGTATTTGGGATCCCAAATGAGCTACGAAACACCACGATGCGAGTTTTTTTGCCAGGATGGTGCCCAAGAAGATACTAGATCATGGGCTAGAGGCAACTCATGCTCAGCGGGTGGTTCATGTCACGCCAAGTGATCCTGGTAACCTGGAAGAATTATGTTGGATGATTTGATATTCTAAATTATGTTATAAATTCTTTTGGATTCTCAATCATGGACAAGCCCGGGATTCATCAGGATGGAAATGGCAAAGAATGAAATATTGTTACCAGAACGAAATTAAAATCAAAAATATGTATGTAATCAAATATCAATTTAAATCGATATAGATAGATCTATATATTTTTAAAAAATATATATATATATATTTGATTGAATATAGGGCATATAATGGGAAAAATATTATATGATAGAATTATTAATATTACAAATAAAAAATTAATTTTATATTCGATTATATTTAAAATGTAATTTATTAGTAATTACGATTAATAAGGATATTATGTTTGAAATTAGTATTGTAATATTTCAATTGATAATAATATTTAATGATAATAATATGTTATGTATTAATATAAATGTTATTTGTAGATTAAGAAAGGGAGCGTCGGGCGTGTTTTTTTTTAATTCCGTTTCGTGTTATATATTGTTTGTGAGGATTTTTAAATATGTTTATATGTTTTTTTTCGTTCTTCGTTTTTTTGAGTATTATCGATTTGCAAAATTTGGTTATAAATTCAGGCGGAATGGGCCGATTAGAGCCTTTTTCCGGACCCGGATCCGGGCGCGAAGGTTTTTGCTTCCGCTTTAGGATAGTATATAAGCTTAATAATTGCACGTATTTTCTATGATTATCGGGTCTAGTCCTACGAGGTATGGGTAATAATTGGCTTAGGCCTTATTTAGTATCGGAATTGGTGCAACCGATAAAAACGATCGGTATATTAGGGCTTATTTTTATTCCTTGGATATAGGTATAATTATATAAAAAATAAATCTTTGCATTTAGCATAAGTGTTTTTTCGCAGCAGATAGTGGTGGATATAGCGTCGTTGACAGGCCCTTTAGATTCCGACTCCACATATAACCCCTCCTACATCAGACCTTCTCCGTGTTCTTTAATGGAATGCATCTAGATCCCTGCACTATGCCAGTTGGTTTGATTGATGTAATCGATCTCCATATGATATTATTATTGCGTAGGAAATTGGTTGGAGCATAAGAAATGAGTGGAGCATTTTTTAATGGCATGTGATGCATGGGGCAGATCGGTATGCCTCGGTATTAGTAATGATTCGTGCCGCCTTGATATTTAGAGAAATCATTTCAATTGCACATCCATATACCCGGCAGGATAATGCAAGTCAAATTGCAATTGTACCGTCCCCACGACATATATATATTATATATCAATATACATGGAATTTAGGTGGAAATGTTTCGCAATTGTGGACCAAATGCAAATGAGTTTGGACGTGCCTTTAAGATTGAATCAGCCATATACTAGCACGAAATCTTCTTTTATTAGGCGGTGATTATAATACCCCATTTGATTTTGATGATTAATATGTTTTTCACCAAGGATCTCAAGTATGCCAAAGCCGCTCAGACAGATCGAGCCCTGTTCCAAACCCTTGTTCAGGATCATCATTTAGCTGCTGTTATACCAGGGTCTTTCATTCCACCTTCGTCAATGGTGACCATAATCCCGGATCGATTTCGTGCTAATGCGGAAGGAGCAGATCTCCTGGTGCAATCTGCAACCGAAGCACCTCCCCGACTTTGATTTTTTGTTTGGTAATCAAGGCCCCAGACATTATTCTCTGAGCTTGCAATTGTCTAAATGATTTCCAATTCCCAATCCCAAATATCATGAGGACAGGCCTGGATTCAGAATACGCCGCAGTGGGCCTCTTTCTTGATTCAGGCACGTCAGATCATTGCAGCACACGACCCATCGTTGTCACCGATTGATCATAATCTGACCTGGGAACGCAGTCTTGTTCAGATTTGTACGCAATGTTTTCCGTCGGTTAGACGGCAGGCCCCATTGGATCCTGCCTTACGATCTCTTACTGCCCAGATGTGGCTAGCCCGTAAGGCGGTCCTTTCATTGCATGATTGTAGTGTGAAATCCATATTTCTGGATTGATTTAATTTGACCAGATATCGTATCTTGCACAAATAAATCAGGCAATACAGTCGGATCAATAAGCGGACGAGACTTGAAGCCTTTCTCCGTGAAGGGGCAGATTTGGCCATGAGACACCAGTCTTTTGATTTCTTTCGCCGCATCCGCACGCTTTGCCCCAGGCAAAGATTTCAGCGTATTCACATGTTCGATAGTCATGGACAACCACTGAGCCCACAACAGGAATTTGATGAATTTGTTCAATACTTTGGTACTCAATTCCATGACCCGGACTTTCTGCCACCGGCCTTGCAACCGCTTCAGGTCCTGTCATTTGATGAGGCGGTCGTAAATGAGGCCTTGCGTCGCATGCCGGCCACCAAAGCAGTGGCGCCACCGAGTCTCCCAGCCATTGTAAGGAAAGCATTAGCTCCTGAACTTACTAGTTCGATATATCATGCCATGGCCCATTGGTGGAGTGTCAACCCCCCTCAAGCACCAGACGAATGGACGGCTGGTTGGCTGCACCTCATTCCCAAGCCGGGCAAACCGAGCACGAGGCCTCAGGTTCTTCGACCTATTTGCCTTCAACACCCTGTCTGTAAAGTTGCATCGAGTTTTGTGACCACTCAACTGTTGCAATACACGATCGATAAATTTCGTCGCTTCCCGTTGTATGCCTACCTTCCTCATAGAAGTATTGTTGATTGTTTGCTTCGAGTTTCGCATCATTGTAGACAGGTCCGAGATGATTGTCACCTGCACAGTAAGGATGATTCACTCGATGGCATGTTCGGAGGCCTCCAGTTTTCTTTCGATATGAATAAGGCCTTTGACTCAGTCAGCCGCATTACTGTGAGCCTGGCCATCAAGTGTTTTCAACTCCCTCAGGACCTCCAGACCATGATCCATACCCTATTGTTCCTTCACAAATATTATATCCCTCACAAAAAGTTAGTGGGTGAAATTTTAGCTACTCGAGGGATTCGTCAGGGTTCAAAAGATGGTCCGATCCTATGGACGCTCTGCATGCACTTAGTGCTCGCTGATTTGGCTGCCAGATATTCGTGCACCTGGCTTCATGACCATGTGATAATTTATGCAGACGACGTGCATTTGAGATGGCGCACGCAAAGGCTGTCGGATAGCCTCACAGCCCTGTCTGACCTTGACCACATCCTTCGGATCTTTCGCATGTATGGTTTTACCATCAACCTAGATAAGAGTGTTGTCTTGTTTAGGGCTGTTGGCAAAGGAGCAAGCCGATTCACCAAACGGTGGGTCATCCGTACCAAAAATGGTCCGTTCCTGACCATGCCTGATTCTCAGACCCGATTGCCCATGGTCTCGAAAACAGCGTACCTGGGAGTCATCATAGGATACAGAACATGGGAGACAGACACGGTGGCCAGACGTCTCCAGGCAGCACAAATGTGTTTTCAATTCTGAGGAAGTGGCTCACAGCCCAATGTGTTCCGCAGGGCATTCGTTTTCGATTGTACCAGCAATGTATAGTGCCCACAATCATGTACGGCATACATGAAATGGGCATCACGCAGAAATTCTTTCGTAAGATCATTAGTACCATCAACGTGCACTTCAGACGCATGATCAAAGCACCAGTTCATTTGACATATGAACCCACACAGGATATGTTTCGTCGACTGAATCAACCCTCTCCCTGGGCGATTCTCCAAAGCCACAACCTTCGACTGCGCCAATCGTTGCTGCACAAGATACAGCACGCAATCGAATCAGCCATGGACGACCAATCTCCTGATGTGATTGCGTTGACCCCAGACTATCCCATAAGCCACCTAGATACCCCGATTGATTCCTCGCAACCTCATGCTTAGGATCCATCTCTTGAGTGCCTGGAATGTCATCGACAATTCAATCAGGCTGGGATATTGAAGCGGCATATGCGTCAAATGCACCAAATCCCGTGTTTGCCGGAGGATGTATATAATCCCCTAAGAGACTCGGTGGATGGTACTAGTATTTGTCGTCACTGTAGGATCAAATTCTCAAATATGACGACATTACGTACATACATCAACAAACGTATTTGCACAGCTTTTGACATGCATCAGGCTTTGGTGATCCCGATTGTGTCCAGACCTGAAGTGGTCATGCCCATTCGTCACCTTTCGTATATGGGTCTGTATTTGGACAAGCCATTGTGCCAGGAGCTTGCTACTCGATGTGCCTTCTGCAATCAACAGGTCCATGCCAAAGCCATGACCCGTCATTACAGGGACCACCATCAGGAGAAGATTGGACCGACCAATACCACTTGGAAATGGTCAGAGGATTTGCCAACTTCGGATCAGGCCGAGGGGAATCCCCGCTCTGTTGCACCAGAACACTCAATGTCCACCCCCCATCAATGCAGTGTGGTATACCAACTGGCAGCCATGACGGCCCACGTGTTTGATCCAGCCCACTTTCCTGTCATACCATGCATGAAGCGTGCATAATACCCATCCTGGACCTCAGATATTGATCAATAGCCTGATGACGCTCCCGATCCAGCTCCAGCTACCAAGAAGCTCCGGGGCCCCATGGACCTAACCTCAACCCCGGACCCTGCCTTGCCCGCCAGGTCCACTGCAATTCAATCCAGTACGGATAAGGCCAACCCCAGTCCATCGATGTTCAAATGCATCCAGTGTCCGGCGGTATTCTTGTTCCCCCAAGGCCTGACCCAACATCAAGTAATATATCGTTCACCAGGGTCGATCCCTACATCCACGGAGCCCAAACGTGGACGGCCTCCGGGTAAAGATACAATCCAATTCCGCTTGGCAGAGACAGCAACCACCGAGATTCCAGTCCCATTGTCCGAATTCAAGGCCTAGCCCACCCCTGTACCGAGATGGGCCTCAAATTCGATTCCATAGACATTGGGCATCAAAACCACAAGCAAAGCACCAAATTATATATACATAATACACCACGTCACCATATTATCCAAATAATATATTAATAAAATTTCATTTAAAAAATAAGCAAAAATAAAAAATTAATCGTACCGTTAAATTCTTACAAATATTTTATTTTCCTAAAGCATTTCAAATATATTTTCTTTCGGATTTGCGAATTTTATATAAATCAATTGCTTATATTAAGAATAATATTCGGAGAATAATATTGGGCAAAATATTCATTTATAAGACCTATTATATTTAAAATTCATAAAAATATCGAATTCAATTATATCATTTATAATCGATATTATAATATGTTATATTCATCCTAATGCAAAATTAAAATTACTAAATTTAACAAAATATTCTAAATAATAGCCATAATTTTAAAAATATTATCGAATGAACAATCCTTTTCAAATTTAATAATTATTCGGAATATTTTCAAAATTACGTACAACCTCTCCATCCAATTATTAATCCATAAATAAATATTCGTAATCGAAATAATATCAATAAACATTTAACAATACAAACAATCCGATAAAATACTATTCTAAATAAATTCAATTCAAAATCATCGAAAAAATATCATATCATTAATAATAAAAAATAGAAAATATATCTATCCAATAATATATTCAAAAATTAATTCAATATATAAAGAAATTTCGTCTAAACCAAAACGACGATTTCTTAATAATCGAATTAAATTCCAAAATCGAATACCATAGAAACAAGATTTTAAAATCCAATCAAAAAGCTTCCTTAAAATCATTCGAAATTTAAGATATTTTATATCCTAAATTCCAATTCCAATTTAATACATCATTAAAATTCTTCAACCGTTCAAATAAGAATCGTTCCATATAAATAATTCTATATTATTTTAATATATCCTTTCATTTCCATTCCCCATTAATTTATTTCAATAAAATCTTTAAAAATCTGTTATTATGTTATATTATATCTATGTAAAATATATATATATATTGATTTAATATATATAGTTTTGGAATATTGAATTATTGTTTGGCCAAGTATTCTTCGCCTGTCCGTCAATATCTATTAGATGTTTTTATTTCTTTCCCAATCGAAATATGTCCAATAAATCGGGATTCAATATTGATCGAATATCAATCGAATGGGAAAGAAAAATTCAGTGACGGATAAATTGTTAGAACATAGGGTTTTTCCAAACGGCGAAATTCATGATTTAAACAAAAGGAGCATGTGGTTAGAACAAAAAACCTGCACACTAAGAACATATCCACCCATAACCGGTAAGAACATATTCACCCATCACTTAGAACACACAAAGATTGGGCTTAAAGATGTGTTGTGTTGCCTCGATTATATAAAATCCATATGGAGAGCATGCGCTTCGAACATACCAATGTCGCGTGCCAAACTCTCTAGATAGTGGAACACACCCAAGTCTGCCGCAAAATATTAATTTTCCTCAAGGAGGTGCCCCACCCCCACACGTGGTATTGCCTGCCCGATGGGCAGGTGCAAACTGTTCCTCCAAGTATGAACATGATGCTTGCAATCCACACATGTTCTTAGTCTCTGGTTCTAAGTGTATGGTTTTTGAGTCCATGTTCTAAGTCCATGTTCTAATCTCTTGTTGAAAGATGTTAAAAGTTTGGCGCTTAGAACAAGCTTAAAATTGTAGTTTTTAACATGGGCATGCATTTCAAATGTTCGGCCAATTCAGGATCCGCGTTCCCCGAAAATTCCTCGAGTGGCAAGTCCTTTTGTCCGGGTATACATGGTCACGGAATGCTCGCTCGAGGCGCCATGGAATGGTCCTCAAGGTCCTCATAATCTCTCACCAACTTTTACAGCCAAACAACAAGAGACAGTAGAAAGTGCTTCTCGGGCTTGGTCTTTCTTGTCAAGGTGGGAGCACCACGCAACACCCAGCAGTTCCTCCCTTGTCAGAGAAGCAAATCCACCGCCCTGACCTTTCCAAGGGCCGCAACTGCAAATGATCAGCCAAATCCTGCCATGCCACGGATGCGGCGTGCGGATGGCAAAGCCCAAATCTAAAAAAAAAGGCCTGCAAGGTTGGAGGAACACAGATTGGACCGTTTTGGGGCAGATGGTGTTTGATTCCAAAACCACTATTGGATAGTTTTTGAGACACCGTTGAACCAATTTGGATGTTGCTTTTCCGATGGTTTCAGGTCGTCCCACTGTTCAGTTCCACCTTTTCGGCTCCGCCGTCCTGGTGTTGTCGGACCCACGTGATTTCCCACCACTAGAAGTGCCCCATCTCCCAATTGGTGCAAATATTATCGGGTATCTTGGCCCCCATCTTTGACCCGCTCGTTGACCGCACCCGTGGTTGGGGGAAGGTCCACCGCCGCTGAGAAGGGACCTCCGTTTGAAGGAATGAAGAGATCAAAGCAGGGTCTAGTGGACGTTCGGCATGTTCGGTGACCTATCTCCCACTGCTCTCTTCACTTCCTCGGCTGAACTCCCAGCGTGAGTGGGATCAGAGAGAGGTTGGTAGCCCCGAGGCCTTCCACCAAAAATGGAAGGTCTAAGCTTAAATTTGCTTAAGGAACCGAGAATTGCAAATATTCCCAGGAAAGTGATTGACCTTGAGCAAAACCAGGTAAAGTGAAGTGCATTGACTCACGTTCTTGTCCACCAACACTACCCGACAAGCTGCTGCAATGCTCCTTGCGGCCCTCACCACCATCACCCCTCATCCACCACGGCCCGGCACGATGCACTTAGCACTTGAAGACTGGCCTCGGCATTCTCTTGCACCTCAGGGGATTTCGCACCAAGTCCACACCGACGTGGGACGTGTTTTTTGGTCCAATGTCCATATCCATTCGCGCATGGACACGGGTCCACGTGTTTCAATAGCACAAGTGACAAGTGTGGATGCATTCCGGCTCTTTTATATAGCTGGATGTTCTAGAAAGTTGAAAATCCATGTAAAAACATGTGAAAGCATCCCAATTTGAGCACTCAAACCTCAACGGCTGGTCCCAAAAACACACCCAAAAAAGTCTGGCCTTCCGAAATCAGACTATGCGGCCCGCCCACCCGAAGAAGCCGTTCAGGAACACCCGGGTTGCAATCGGTCCTATGTTAAGGACAAACAAGGTCCGTCGCGGACCAAAGCGCGAAAGGGCGCACCTGTTTTCGGCTGCGCGGCTCGAGCCCCCGCCACTGCGGTTCAGGGGAACATGGACAAAAAGAGACATGAAGTCCCCATCCTCACATCACCCCAACTTTCCTGGCTCTTTTTGAAACTTTCAGCTGAGGTGGCTGTCATCGGCCTTTTCAAGGCCATCATCCCATGGCCAGTTGTTTCTGGCCGCCAGGGATCGCAGGCTCGCCACATAGGCTTCCTGCATCTCTCGAAGCTTTTGCTCCATTGCCCTCTTGTGCACCTTCTTGCCTGCTTCGAACTTTTCGTCGTGCACCAACCTCCAGTATTGCTTCTGGCTGAAAAACTGGAGCAGGGTCTTTCTTGCTCCGTACTTGGTGAGGGAGTCACCAAGTTGAGCTAGGCCGTTCACCCATCGCAGCTCCGTGGCTGCTTTCAGTGCTTGGTTCACTGCAAGCGTCAGCTCATAGCCTGCCCGGCTGTCTCTCAGACCGTGGAGGCTGCTGATGTTGCGGGTCATGGCATCGTAGATGCCTCTGCTGTCCATCACCAAAGCTCCCGCCACCAGCTTTGCGGTCTCGTGGACCAGGTGTCTCTTCACCTCATGGCCTCCAAACTCGGCCACCATCATTCGGACCTGGAAGTTCTGGTCCTCGCCGATGGTGATCGCCTGGACTTCGGCTCCAGTGGAGCCTAGGCATTGCCGCGGCGTCTTGCCGCTCTTCCACTGGACCACCGCGATCTGCACCTCCTCGCCTGCCAAGGCTGCCTTCACCGTGACACCGGTGATGGTGCCAACCGTGCTGCTCTTGTCGGGGCGGTTGTGTTGGCTGTCATCAGCCCAGGTGATAACCGCGAGGTCAGTCACCTCCTTCATGTTCCAGCTTGAAGGGAACAGCAACCCTTGGCCGGCGTCTCTCCTCATCTCTCTCACCAGCTTGTTGACCTTGTAGAGGGTCTCTATGGTGCCCTTGTTGATCTCGCTCAGGAGGAGCGATGCTTCTGCCAGGAACTGCGGCGCAGATTGCGTCGCTCGCCAGGGCACGGTGCCCAGTGCTGCCCGCGTGGCAGAAATCTCCGCTGCATTCAGAGGTGTCTTTCTCGCCTTTGTCTTGTCAATCTCAATCTCTTCAATCCAGCGGTTGGTGTAAACCTCCTGGTTCAGGATGATGGAGTAGTCCTTATTCTGGATGATGGTGCATCCAGCGAACTCAAAGTTGTCCTCATTCCATCGTCCCCATCGGAATGCCTCGTCGAGAAGGCGTTCCCGTGACAGGAAGTGTTCAGATGTCTCCAGCCCGAATAGCAGGAAATCATCAACGTGCAGACCTGCTAGGCCAACCAGTTGCGGATGCTGGCTCCCGCTCATGGATCCAGGCTCGTAGAGCGCGAAACAGCACTTGTCGCTCAGCAGCTGTCGCCATCCGGCCTCCACCATGGTCTTCACGCAGCGCTCCCACCATTTTCTCGGAGCGTGTGCCAGGCCGTAGAAGGCTTCTCGCACTCTCAGGGCTTTCTGCTGGCCAAACATAGCGCTCAGCTCTGGTGGCGCCAGCACGTTCAGCTCCTCATCCTCCAAGCTAATGCCAGTTTGCAAGAAGGCACTCGTCACATCGCCGGCCTTTACCTTGAACTTCAGGCCGGCGGCCATTGCGGCCGACCTTGGACATGGTCGGCGAAGCCGTGGCCACTTCTGTCAAGTTGTGCGCCATGAATCCTAGCACCACCAGACGGGCCTTGGCGGTTCCGTCGCCTTTGTGCGTCAGCACCCAGCGCATCTTCATCAGCTGCTCTGGAGTCACCTTCATCTCCTCTTGGATGGTGAGGTTCCGTAGCGCCTTGCTGATAGCCACCTGGGAAAGCTCTTTTGCCATTGCCAGGTCATACTCCTTTTTCTCATGCATCGGAAGACGATGCCGTTCAACTTCTTTTCCTTTCTCAGACATCTTCTTGCTCAGCCACACGACTCCTCTCTTGCGGCCCTTGTTCTTGCTCAGCCATTCGAAGTCGTTGGCGTCCACCTCAAAGGAACATGCCAGGAAGGTTTCGCCTGGAGCTTTCTTCTTCTTGGGCTTCTCCTTCAGTTTTCCAGCAGGCTTGGAGTTGTCCTCGACGACCATCAACTCTTCGCTCCCATCCGAAATCGAAGATGTAGAAGATGAAGAGGATCCTTCGGGAATTGGGACTTCAGCTCCTGTCGGCGCCCGTCTTCCTTCATAGAGGTCGTAGAGGAAGGTCTGTCCTTCTCGGTCTTGATGGTGTCCACCGTGGCCTCCGGGAAGATCGCATTCGGGTACCGGACATCGATTTGCACCTGATACTCCTCGAAGAGGTAGGTTGTCCACCACATCAGGTCCTCGAGCTGCCTTCAGTCCCGATGATGATGAAGTTGCTCCCTCTGGCGTCTCCTGATCGTCCTCTATGGTCTTGTCGTCCTTCTTCTCCTTCGCCAGGTCTTCATCGGCTGCCTTTCGTTTCTCTCCCTTGGACCTCTTCACTCGCTGCCGCTTCACAGATGCCTCAGGGATCAGCTCAAACCAAGTCTCACCCTTCCATCTGTCTTGGAGGTTCCGGCTCTCTTCAATGGTGTCGTGGATGGTCACCTCATCACCACCATGAGCAGGACGGACGAGAGTCCTTCTGCGACCGGTCAGTTCCTCCAGCTTCACAGGGCAGTTCGTCGCTCGTCCAGGGTTGAAAAGTGCCAGCCTAGGAAGCTCGTGAAGTCGGACCAGGAAGCGTTTGCCATCTTCCCATTTCACTGCCCAGGAGTCGCTTCCATGTTGTCCTCGTGGTTCAACCAATGGAGTAGAAGCTGAGAGATCTCCTCGTTGTAGCTCCTCGCTTGGGACATCGCCGGACACATCCATGTAGTATCGGCCTTGGAAGCTTCTCATGAGGGCCTCGAGCGTCACTGGGTTCTTGTAGATGGCCGCTCCTTCCAGCTTGGCATCTAGCTCTTCACGCTTCGAAGTCGGGCGGATCTGGTTCACCTTCGCCCGGATGAGAGTGGCTCCTGAGATCAGCCATGCTGTCGAACCTTCCATGAGAACGAGGCGTAAGGGCCCAGTCCAGTTGCCCTTCACCTTTCCAGGGCGGACTCGCTGTCGCCACACCATCACCAGTTGACCAGCTTGGTACTGGCTCGCCTTTCTCCCAATGGCATTTGCCAGCTTGCTGAACCTCTCTCGAGCTCGTTCTCGCTCAAAAGCTATCTTGGCTTTCTCCCTCTCCTTCACCAGCTTGTCGAAAGCGCGGCTAGGATCAATGCCTTGGAGCAGTTGTTGTTCGTCAAGTACTCCTCCTCCAGCTCCAAACACCCATTGGTATGCACTAAATCCACTTGGCCCGATGTGGCTGTTCATTGCCGCTGCTGCCATCTGGTACAGCTCGAAAATGTCCAAGGAGCTTCCTTCTTTGATCAGCCTTTCGACTGTCCTCTTAGCCAGGCCAATTGCGCCTTCCTCGAAGCCCATAAGCCAATGTGCTTCTGCAGGTGCGATAGTCAGCCCCACGCCAGATCTGTTGAGGAAGTTCATAAACTCCTGGCTAGTGTAATACCTAGCACTGTCGGCCACCGTCCATTTCGGAGAGGGGTACGTCATCAGCCATCTCGTCATTGACTTGATCACATCGGCTGTTGTTGGCTCCCAGTTTCCGGTCTCGTACCGCTTGAGATGGTCGATCATTGTCAAGCCAGATCCTCGATCCCTCCAGATGATCAACTTGTGCTTCACACCCGTCGGCTCTTCATGCTCGAAGACGTCGGTTCCGAGATGGTCGTAGATTGGAGAGGTGTTTCTCCCAGGCTCGCTGGGAGCCGTGGTCTCGGCTTGGAAGCCTCTTTGCACTCCGGGCACTCCAGGTTGGCTGCCAGCTCAAGGGCCCAACCAGGTGATCCTCTGGCCTTCAGCAGCTGCACCAAGTTGGACATACCCGGGTGTCCGCTCGCTCGATGGACTCGCAGCATCATCTGCTTGATCGCCTCCAATCGTTTCCCATTTGGGGCCGTCTCCAAGTCCAGTCTCTTCCTGCTCAAGGCCATCACTTGCGGCTCCAGCTCAAAGCCATGATGTTCGCCTTGTGATTCTCCAGGAAGTAGGGTGGACGTAGTCTCTTCGTCCGTGCCCTCGGGGACCTCAAGGAGATAGGTCTCGACCATCTTCGTCAAATCATCTCGTTCTTGTCTCCATCGATGCTCCATGCCCTTGACCACATCCTTGCAAAGCGAGGCCGGGTAGTAGCTTGATGCCTCTGCCGCTTGCCCTCGACATTCTGCGTGTTCATGGGAGCGGTCGCATCGCTTGTTCAAAGTCAACCACAACTCTCGGCTCGTGGTCAGGATGGTCCAAGCCTTTCGCAAAGGAATGCCTTTCCACTCCAGCCCGTAGGCGCATCCGTCCACTCGGATCCAGTAGACACTTCTCCCATACCGTTGGATGGCGTAGATCAATCGCTTGATTGCTCTAGACTTCCAGCCAGGTCAAGTTCTGAAGACTGGATAGGCGAGTGCATCTAAATGATACCCAGGCCAGACGCGGCACCACCTCCTTGATCCTGTCGGCCAGTCGAGATGTCCCCTTACGGGTGTCCAGGCCATAGCCAGTCTTGAAGTTGATGCGCTCTCCATAGTATCCCTTCTGCTGGAAGGATGCCGTTAGTGTCGATTCGGGAGAGCAGGCTATCTCCATCACATCGACTTGCGGACTGACATTGTTGATCATCTCTCTCACTGGCTCCATCAAGGTCACCGTCATCGCAGCTGCCAGTGCCAGCCTCCTTGCCAAAGAGGGTCTCACCATCTTCTCCGTCAGGTGGTTCGTGGCAGCGATCTCCTTCACAATCTCCTGGTGACGTGCCGTTGATGGACACAAACTGCCAGTAGGGCATCTCGCGCAGGTAGTCCCCATTGGCTCTTCACCCAGCGTAGGGCTCGTTGTGCTCGTAGTGCCATCAAGTTCCCCACCAAACGTAGGGCTCGTTGTGCTCGTAGTGCCGTGTTGTTGGAGAAAGGACTCTCCCTCTGCTGTTGTTTGTTGGCGTGTTGGGCTCAAATGAAGGTTGTCAGGATTGGTGTCCAAGTCAGCCTCCAGCCGGGTAGGACATGTCGATCGCATCCTCTGACGCAATCCGCTCAAAGCTTTCCACAGGGCATTCACTCGCCCTTGGATTCCAACTCCTCCTTCTCCTTCTTCACGACCAGCTCCTCGATCTTGGCCTTCGCTTCCTGGAGCTCCTTCTTCATCAGCTCGATCTCCGCCTCGTTGGCGACCACCACCACCGAAGATGTCCTTGAGCTCACGCTCATCGGACTGCCTGAGCGACGGGTCGGAATCCCTTCGCTCTTCACCGTCAGGTCGTTCTCCTTCTCCGCCTTGGTCGAGGGCTTCGGTGGGCTCTGGCGGACTGGCGAGACCGCCTTGGGGTACGGCGTCTTCTTTGGGCTCTCCGTGGTCTGAGTGCAGGATGCCCCAGCCATCAGTGCTTCCCCCAAGGTCTCGTTCGCCCTGACCTGAACTGTCGTGCGGCCTCGTCCACGTGTCTCCACTAGGGTCCGACCTCGAATCTCCAGAAGCTTCCCGTTGAAAATCTTCTCCGTGATCTCGTGCGCTTGGAATGCTTCTTGAAGTTCCAGTTGTGCCAGCTCGACATGTTCTGGCGGAGGTCCAATGGCCCGGTTGTCCCCGGCGCCAGTGCCCTTACCGGAGTCTCAGGCCACAGTGATTGCAGGCCTGCCAGGCCGCGAACTTGTTGGTTCGCTGAGGTCCAGGAACGTGATGTCCCACGCACGGCCAGCCGACATGGCATGGGTCCTGGTCCGTGGAAGGAGGACATGTCTTCATTGTCCGTTGGGCTCGTCCTCTTGAGGTCGTTCAACCGTCGAGCCAACTTGCTGAGGCGGTCGGACAGAGCATCTGCGTTTGAATTTGAATCTTCCTCAACCATGAGTACTCGACCGTCAAAAATCACTGACTGACACTCTTCATGTTGCTCCACCTGACCATCAACTGCATGTTCAACATGATCATTCCCGGCCACATCACTGATGAATGACGACACAGTCTCCAGGGGCCTCTCAGAATCCTCGGGTGCCTCATGGTCCTCATCTTCTAGATCTATGGGAACACGCTGAACGATCACATCTTCTTCCTTTTCATCAGGCTCTTTGGGTTCCCCAGAGGGGTTCAGAAGGAAGGCCAGGCTCTTCATTTCCCGGCACGGAAGGCGTGTAGTTGGAAACTTCGCCTGAATGGAGAAATGCGGCGGCTCTCAGGTGTTGTTCTCGACGTTCTTCTGTCATCTCCTCTGGTTCAGGCGGCTCTTCAGGTTCTTCTCGGACGTGTCCAGTGGTTGCCGCCAGCAACCGTCCCGTTGGATCGTGTTGCTTCTTCTCTTCATGTGTCCTGGGTCTCTTCTTCCAGGGAGGCGGCTCATCTCCAGGGCCGGAGTCATCACCAGCATCATCATCCGGCGGCCAGCGCGTGGAAGGATTCATGTTGAACCTCTTCAGCAGGAACTCAATCGGAAGCTTAATCACCAGATGTCCGCTCGGAGAAGACCAGAGTTGACTCACCCACCATCTTCCATCTCCTCCTCGGTGGGCCAGGTAATCTCCATGATACGAGATCACCGCTCGACGAGCGCGGAGGATCCGCGACCCGATGAGCAGGGGGGTGTCCTCTGCGCCACCATCCAGCAGGTAGAACTCCATTCCTCCCATGGCGTTGGTCGTCACATGGCACTTGGATACTGCTCGTTGGTGTTCTCCATTGCCAAACCGGAAGCGGGGCCGGTTGTCCAGCGTGATGTCATACAGGAAATGGCCTGAGTCAATCAGCTTCGACATGGACCGAATGCCGGAAACAGATTCCGTGGCTCCGGAATCGATGATCGCCTTGGTCAGGGAAAGCTCTCCAAGGCGTGTGTCCTCGGCCAAGCTCATGACGTTGACCTCGTAGTAGCCATACTCCGGGGCATAGTCCACCCAGAAGGTCTTGCCGCCCTTGCGGCTCTTCCCACCTTTTCCTTTGCCCTTGAAGCCCTTCATCGAACCCTTAGGCGAAGAAGTAGGCGACGTTCTCCCGGATGAAGATCCCCGTGACCACCTGTCAGGGCATCTGGCATACGTGACCATTCTGTCCACAGATGAAGCAGGGTCCGAGGCTCGCGGCACCATTTCCTTTTCCCTTGCCAAAGGGACTCTTGCTCTTCCCTTTTCCTTTTCCTCCGAGGCTGCCAGAGGGTCCACCCTTCATCCCAACCGGACTGTAGTAGCCCCGGGCAGCTCTCACCTTCGCGACTGCCATCTTCGCTTCAGCAAGGGTCTTGTTGGCCTCCGCTGCGATGGTGAGGCCTCCTCCAGTCGCTTCTCACCTTCAAGATCTTCCTGTGCTGGATCATGCCCTTCTTCTTCTCCCGGTTGATGACCCTCACCGGTCTCGAACTCAATGCCATAGTCGTCCTCCCAGTAGGTCGGCGACCAAGCGAACCAGGCAGTGCGTCGAGGAAACCGTCCATGGTCGTCTGACTGGTCAGCTCCATCAGCGAACAGAGACCTCAGGGCCTGTCGGATCTGGTTGAAGTGCGTTGAGTTCCGTGTCAGGGTCAAAACATGTTGTCTCTCTGCCTGACTGAGCTTTGCGGCCTTGAGAAGCCTATAGCCCCTCAGTTCGTGCTCGAAGAAACCGGCCGTCTCGCCTGAAGTCGTCGAGGTCGTCATAGGCCTCGTCACCTGGGGCTCCTCATCCTCGAAGGTCACATCCTCGCGAACCGAGCCAAGTCCTGCCCGAGTCACGTTCGGAGACCTCGTAGGTGAGGTTGGCGGGTCATGTTCACTGGCACCAACTCCCATCGACCTGACCTCATGTCGGGACCTCTCGTGGCGAGCTCGTTGAAGTGCTTGTTGAAGCTCGACGAACAGCTCCTCCTCCCGGACCAGGAGTTGCGGGATTGTCTCTTGGGCTGTTCTCTTCAAGCTCGACCACTTCTCGAGCCTCGAGAAGCTATCCGGGATCGGAAGCTTCTGAAGCGGACTCTCGCGGAGGACCGAGAGCAGCTTCTCCATGCCATTCTCGGAGCTGAAGTCCTTGGGCTCGAGGTGCTTCACCACGCTCTTCGCGACTCCCAACAGCTTCTGCCAGACCTTCGGGGCTGCCAGCTTCTTCTCTGCATCCTTGAGGCTGTATTCGAACCACTTGCACGAAGTGGCGAAGGCCTCAAAGGATGCTGGGTCTCCATCCCAGCTTGGGATCTCCTCATGGGGCATGGCGCCCCTTCTCTCCACCAGTCGTCACCGCCAGCTCCTCAAGGAAGACCGTCTCCAGCAGCTCCGACTACCATGCAATCGGTCCTATCCTAAGGACAAACAAAGTCCGTCGCGGACCAAAGCGCGAAAGGGCGCACCTGTTTTCGGCTGCGCGGCTCGAGCCCCCGCCACTGCGGTTCAGGGGAACATGGACAAAAAGAGACATGAAGTCCCCATCCTCACACGGGTGAAAAAAAGATCGGAGGCCACACCAGCAATGTCGTTTTTAACATGTATGCTCTCACCACGGGTCTTGACATACAGAGCCACCTTGACATACGCTCCAAACGGCAAGTCATTGAAGCTCATGACTAAGTCTTTATATCTATTGGCTTGGAGGCCATCGCTCCTGTGCTACTCGCGGGCTGTGCCTCGGTCAACCAGATGGCACCCATGTCTCTGCACCACGCTTCGGCCGCCTGGAGAGGCGAGGTACTGGTCACACGAACCGGGTGGGTCGTGGGGTGAGGAGTGGCTTGTCCTGCAAAAGGATCGAAGCAAAGACCTTAGAGTCGATATATTTGGAGCGCCAGATGGCCAGATGGAGGCGTGTGAGGTTTGGTATTTCTGTCAAATGGACGACCCACTTTCCGGGACTCCCGAGTCGTGGGTATGTTTCGGGACGTCGCAGCCCTTTGAATGACGTAAGCGACTCCAACATCCCATCAGCACAAAGACTTTTCCGAAGAAGCAACACACGAGTTTCTTCGGGCCTTGCCGTCCCGGTCGGAAACCAAAAAAGCAACGACGCCGTGGTCTCAACCAGGTCGGCTGCGACCGGTCCTGGTTCCGACCGGTCGTCGGAACCGAGCGAACAAAGGGACGGCTTGAGCGGCCGACCGGTGCGGGGCCTTCTGCACACACCCGGTCAACGCCGACCGAGTGGTAAAAGCGGTGACTGGTCGTCACAACGGGTGCCTCTTGATACTCCTCCAAGTTCAGGGTCTGCAACCACTCCGCAAGGCCTCCAGAGCCAATCCGGAGCCCATGCAGTCTGTGGACAAGCATAAACAAGCAAGAACTGAAGACCCATCAAATCGACTGGTTAATTACAATCCCTCAATATCCCTTCTAAACCAGATCTCAGAAATTCCCCTAACAACACAATTTGTATAGATTTATAGATCTATAAATCTAAATGTTGTGGAAGACCCTTCAAATAAGTCAAATAGCACTGCGCCCACATAAACCTCGAACTGGCCCGGTACTTCACACCAGAGGAAACAAACCTAAGAAACTGCAAAAGTGATAAGCTGGATTGTTCTGTCAAGTCCTGACAAAATCACCCCAGGGGTGAGTTTGGTCAATCGAATTTGAAAATATTTGAACTGGAGTCTTCATCCAAACCATTTGCTTCATCCCAAATGCCCAGAACCCACGAGAAGGTCTATCCTGTCCACCACGCCGCCCCGTAACCGCTCCCGGGTTTATCAGGGGGGGCCGGACCCTCCACAGGCGTCGAAGTCGGCCTTCGAACCTGGTGCCAGGTGCGGGTCATGGGTCGTCGCCGCACCAGGAGACACGAAACCCCAGAGGCCCCAGACCGGTGGATGGCCGTGGGCCCCGAAGACCCGTGTTCGGTGCAACTCTCCACTTCCAGGGAGAGTACCGGTCTTTAAAGACCTAGCAACGAGACTTGACTCAGTCTGAGCGATGACCCTTCAGTATAACTGGGTGTCTGGGAGTGTGGACCTACCTAGAAGGTCAAGCTACATGGTGTTGGAGGGCTCCAGGTTTTGACCTTCCAAGAGCCCTCCCAACACCATGTAGGAGCCCTCCCAACACCATGTAGGAGCCCTCCTTGTTGGTTGGAGAATTCAAGAGTGTTGCGCTTGGAGTCCGTTTGGAGTGAAACGCGACTCTATCGGACCCCCGATCGGTCGCATCGAGCACGCATCGACGATGCCAGCTCTCTGCGGAGGTCAACAGCAAAGTCGGACCAAAGGGTCCGGCGAAACCATCGAAAATCACTTGCTACATCTTGCTACCCAAGGCTTTGTAGTGCAAAAGCCACTTGGATGTCTGTCTTAAAATAGGGAGACCTCCCTTCCGTTCCCAAAAGAAGAGACTCGAGCTGGAGCCCTCCCAGTCCAGGTGGGGACCTCCCAGTCCTCTTCTCATCTTGTCCGAGACACGGACACGGTGAGGAAGCGACGTTCGACCGGGAACTGGGACGACCAGGTCGTCATGGGACGGTTCTGCGAGGACTTCGAAAGCACACGGAACTCGTACCGAATTCTGAAGATGAATCAAGGTGATATCCCTTTTCAGATTTGGAACATCCAAAGATCCTCTCCTAGCCTAGCAAGGCGATTCTCTTTGGTGTCGAATCCTTCTGGAGGCGGTCTTTGACTTCTGACAATTCGCCCAGCAAGGCCCGCGAAGACCGGCTGCGGGCAGGGTGGCCCCCTCACTTCATACTTGCAGGTGGATTGAAGACCTAATACAGAACCTCTTGGTAGATCGACTGGACAACACCAGTCTTCTTGGCTCCAAAAACATCCAAAAACGACATACCGGCGGGCCCAGGACATGCCGAGTGCTCTCACTCTTTGGAAACCGAACTCCAGGGCGAACTTGACGGGTCAGAGAACATCCCCCTCGAATTGGTTGGGGACGGGGATGTTCGCCCATCGCTGGGCAACCCATCGGTTTCAGTGTGAAAACCATCTGAAACCAATTCTGGAAGGGTCATGAAAAACCTTCCCTCAAGTACAGATCAGATCCGTCGCAGCTCGACCCTTTTTCGCTTCGCGTCAACTGGAGGGTTGAGTGGCTGGTGTTGCTGCGTGGCCTGTCCCCGGGTTGTTCCTCAGAAATCCCGGGTCAAATTGGTAATCAATCAAGATGATGGGGATCTAATGTAGACTGTTGACTAATAAAACCACCCCATTTGGATTGTAAAAACCTCTTCTACCCATACTACTCGAACTTGAAGACATACCACGTCGCCGACTCGGTACGCGTTGGACCAGTGGATACTGTAGTTTGTCAAAAGAACAAGTACAACATATCTACCATGCATATCGCGGTGTCACTCATCAACAGTCTACATCACCAGGCCCTCCAAGAGATGACTCCGGGTTTTGCCTCAGCGGTGGGGTCCACATGCCGTTTCTCTTGTGAAAGCCTTTCACGTCACTCCGTCCAGACCTTTCACCGGCTAGGAATGACCTCCCTGGCTGATTAGTGGTTGCAACTCATCTGAAAAATCATCCTAAGTAAAGGTTGAAAGACAAAATATCTGAAACCACCACCCAGCTGGTTTTCTTTGGGGATTCAGCTCTATACCCAATCTTGCAGACCATCCAGAGTAGCGAAGCAGGACTTTTGAAGAGTTGGTCTGCTGAAAAAACACACATATTATGAAGACGTGTAGTTTAATCGGGAAAACCCTGTCTCAATGGGTAGACTGGTCTACCGTCCTTTTCCCAGGAGGTCTCCCTATTTTAAGACACACCTATATGAGGGCTTCAGTCCGGTCTTACATGAAAAACCAGTGCAGCGGGTAAGCGTGACTGGGTGTAATGTGGTGTTTTCGGGTTGGGCTGCACTCGGTGCGCTGCGTTGCACTCGGTGCGTTGCACTCGGTGCAATGTTCCAGTGCAGCGGGTAAGCATGACTGGGTGTAATGTGGTGCTTTCGGATTGGGCTGCACTTGGCGCGCTGCGTTGCACTCGGTGCAGCGCACTCGGTGCGATGCACTCGGTGCGTTGCACTCGGTGCGTTGCACTCGGTGCGCTGCACTCGGTGCGTTGCACTCGGTGCGCTGCACTCGGTGCGCTGCGTTGCACTCGGTGCGCTGCACTCGCTGCGTTGCGCTCGGTGCGCTGCACTCGGTGCGTTGCACTCGGTGCGATGCACTCGGTGCGCTGAACTCGGTGCGCTGCACTGGGTGTGTTACACTCGGCGCGTTGCAGTGGTAGTAGTAGTAGTAGTCGTCGTGGTGGTAGTAGTAGTAGTAGTAAAAGTAGTAGTAGTAGTAGTAGTAGTAGTAGTAGTAGTAGCAGTAGTAGTAGTCGTCGTAGTAGTAGTAGTAATAATAGAAGTAGTAGTAGTAGTAGTAGTCGTCGTCGTAGTAGTAGTAGTAGACGTAGTCGTAGTAGTAATCAAAGTAGTAGTAGTAGTAGTAGTAGTAGTAGTAGTAGTAGTAGAAATAAAAGTAGTAGTAGTAGTAGTAGCAGGAGTAGTAATAATAGTAGTAGTAATAATAGTAGTAGTAGTAATAGAAGTAGTAGTAGTAGTAGTAGTAGTAGTAGTAGTAGTAGTAGTAATAGAAGTAGTAGTAGTAATAGAAGTAGTAGTAGTAGTAGTAGTAGTAGTAGTAGTGTAGTAAGTAGTAGGTTGCACTCGGTGCGTTGCACTCGGTGCGCTGCACTCGGTGCGCTGGGTGGTAGTGGTGGAGGTGGTAGTAGTAGAGGTGGAGATGGACGTGCTACGCCATGAGTCCAAAGGTGACGCCGGGGGACTTCACGGCGAAGAAACAGAATGGATGACTCCGCAGAATGGTCAACCAACCAGAGTTTTGGGGTCAGCGATCTTGCATCTGCATCCGCAGGTTTTTTTGGCATTGAGTTTTGACCGTGTCCTCCCCCAATTACTTTTTTCGGGAGGGTCTCTCCACCAGGAAACCACACCAGCACGTGCATCCTATTGGATGCCAACAATATGGCCAATTGGCAACCTATGAACATCACAACCTTTTGGGGCCAGGTCCACACCAGCCAATGAGGGTCGCCTCTGCTATGTTCAAATGTGCAGACCTCACTGACTCCGACTGGCTCTGTGTGTATGCCGGGGTTTTTTCACTGGGTCGCAGCTCAGGAGCTGCGGGGAAAAGCACATCTAGAAGTTGGACAACTCGGGCAATGTCGCAGGCACAAAGAAACAAAACATTTGAACTTCGGGCCACTTCTGCCTTCGAAAGAAATTAAGCAGAAGTGGCAAGCTCCACAAAACATGCAGCCAAAGGGACCAAAATGGTCCAAAAGCCCCACCACTCACCCTTTGGCCTCCCCCCTTTGAAAGAAGTCGAAACCTCTTGCCTTTTGCACCTGAAAAAACGATGAAAAACTACTCACAGGTCGGGCGAAGTTCAGAGTCGGTCGTGAGTCAGCTCGTCCAACTGTGGAGGCCTTCTTCCGCCCCGCGGCCGAGCTCTTCGCGCGGCGGGGTCCGCCACGCCGAGCCGCGCTCAGGCCGCCGCGCAGCGGCCGCCGCGAGCGCCCTGCGCGGCGCGAGCGCCGAATCCATCGACGTGGACGGGGGGCGAGATGAGGTGCCCAGGCGTCCTGGAAGATCCGATCGGACCAGGAATTCGTGGTGTTTGACTCATCTGACTGGTTTTGAATCTTCAAAGTATAGTGAAGGTTTGGTGGGAACAAAAGCACGAGGCATCCTCTCTGAGAAGATGTGGCGTTCTCGGCTGCATGGCCTGGAAGCATTGCACTTGAGCAATGCCGCAGTGTCCATGTTGCGCGTCGGCAGGAGCCGATTCTAGTGACTTTCTGCGGCGGTCTTCATCTTCACCGCAGTATACCGCAGTAGAAGGGGCGGCGGGATCGCTCGCTCTTTCAGGTATCTTTGGAAGGGCGAGTTCGTGCCTTCTGCGATGCCAAAAGCATCCTATTTGGGTCGCTCCACTGGTCGATTCGTGCGCAGAAAGCTTTGCTGATGATGACGCAGTTGATAGGTTCTGAGTGGTTCTGGAATTTTGGGTGTATTGACAAAAGAAGGGGAGCAAAAATGGATCGGATGGAGAAGATTTTTTCTCACAAGAGGACCAATCGGTTGTTTACAGTATATGTTCGTTTTGGGCTGCAGACAATGCGAGCAGCATCACTTTTGCGTTGAGCTTCCTACTAATGAAATGAATTGAATTGTGTGTAACCATATAACCATATGTGATGCTTAACTTCCTACCAACAATCATCAGGAATCAGACCCAAATTCTAAAGGTGGTCTTCTGGATCACTTGTCTGGACAAAATGTTGCATGTGTTTTCTTTTTCTGGTGGCTTTGAGGTGCTCATGAACAATCCGTCAAAAGTATATATCAAGAGGTCAAGCTGTTTTGCCCAGACAGCAACCAGTTGAGCACTGAGCCAAAGGCCCATGGCAGGGCCGTACGGCAGCCATTGACTTCATCGGGCTATCAGCCAATCGATGGCTCAGCTCATGATATTCGCCACGCCGGCTGGCGAGCTGGCACCTGGTGCTTGAATCGAACGCTGTCCGAGGGCCGCAAGGGCCAGGTCGGTACAAAGTTGCTAATGATTGCCCTTTTGAGACCTGTCTGATGCATTCATGTCAGGCTTGGGGGGTATATAACTATATATATATATTATGTATACAGACCGGGTCTGCACTGTTTCAAGAAAAAACACCGGAAATGAAGCGATTCTTGTCCAACCCATTCTGTCACCAAATCACGCATCGAAGCTATCCGAGATAGGTTTTGACATGATCAAGACGGTCT